TTGCCAAGGAGTGCACTGGCAAACGTGCCACAGAGTTCACTGCTGAGGTCCACACTGATGTATGGGGACCAGCTCCTGTTGAAACACTCGGAGGAAGACATTACTACATTACCTTTACAGACGATAAGACTCGCCTCACACACATCCACCTCCTTCACCAGAAAAGCAAAGCCTTCACAGCTTACAAGGACTTCGAGGCCTGGTGTTGCACCCAACACAACGCTGTCAGTCAAAGTCTTGCACTCTGACTGCAGAGGTGAGTATCTAGGAAAAGAGTTCGTCATGCACCTCAAGGAAAGGCAGCACGAAGCAAAAACTTACTGTTCATGACACCCTGCAACACAATGGCATCGCTGAATGCCTCAATCGTACCTTGCTGGAAAAGGTCAGAGCTATGCTGCATGAGAGTGGCTTACCATGCGCCCTATGGGGTGAGGCCATTCATCACGCTGTCTGGTTGAAAAATCGGACACCCACAAAAGTGCTCGAGGGTGGAACCCCTCTCGAAGCTGCTACAGGACAGAAACCTGACCTTAGTTGGGTATGCACATGGGGCTTCGCGTGTATGGGTACAGTACTGAGAGAGGAACCAAACTGGGAGGGCATGTTGTCAAGGGTTGTTGGGTTGGAATTGACGATAACAGCCCCAATGGCTGCCGAGTGTACTGGCCTGAAAAGAAGTCAGTTACAATTGAAAGAAACGTGTATTGGGATCCCTCCTCCACTGAGTCGTTACCTCGTGAGGGGGAGGAAGAAGAAGGGTACTTACCAAATGTGATGTTAATGCCTCCAGCTCCCATCGCAGTGACCAACATGGCCCCATCACTCTCACCTGTTGCTCCAGAATCCATCGCTCCAGACCATCCCATACCCCCATCTCTTCCAGCTGACCCACCCACTGCAAAGCGCATTCGAAAGCCCAGTCAACGACTTGCTGATATCCTCGCTGGTAAAGGCAGTACTAACAGTCATGGTATACCCAACATACCCAAAGGAGTCCAGCTCCCCACCACAGTCGAAGACGAAGCCAATCCCACCAGGCTTGAGGGGGAGGACAGAGCTGCAGCCTTGCTTGCATCCATCATAGACGATCCTGATGATGCCCTTTGCAATATCGACCTTGCTATGGCCATGAACAAAGTCACCACCAAGTCCGAAGCCCTTGAGCCCACCTCACTAGCTGAGGCTCGTCATTGGCCAGATTGGCCACAGTGGGAGGCCAGGATAAGAGAAGAGTTAGCAATGTTACATGTGGCAGGTACTTGGGAACTCGTTGATGCACCTCGTGGTGCCAACATAGTTGGATCCAAATGGGTGTTCCATGCAAAGAAAGACACTGCTGGAAATGTAGTATGGTACAAAGCTCGACTCATCACTCAAGGCTTCTCTCAAGTCAAAGGTGTTGATTATTTTGATACCTTCGCCCCAGTTGCAACGCTTGCATCCATTCGAACCGTCCTTGCCATGGCAGCGCGATCAAACCTAGAACTCCATCAGATTGATATCAAAGGCACATATCTGAATGGCACACTCACCAATGATGAGGTTATCTACATGTGGCAGCCCCCAGGCTTCAAGTCCACTGATCACCCCAATAAAGTCTGTTGCCTCTGAAAGACATTGTATGGTTTGAAGCAGAGTGGCCGTCGCTGGTACCAAAGATTAGTGGAGATCCTCATCGATGAGCTGGGCCTTACCCAGTGCTTGGTCGACCAGGCCATCTATTTCAGACGACACACCACTGGTGAGCTTGTCATCATTGTCATCCATGTTGATGATTGCACCATCGCTGCAATGTCCCTAAATGAGATAGAGGAGCTTAAGTGCAACGTCAGGAAATACGTTGAGATTACCAACCTTGGGGAACTTCACTGGCTGCTGGGCATTGAAGTAACCAGAAATAGAGACGAAACGTACCATCTCCCTGTGCCAATGCCCCTACATCAAGTCCATCATATGACACTTCAGCTTCAATGAGCTCAAGCCCATGTCAAACCTGATGGAACCCAGCACCAGACTGCATTCTGGGCAGTCACCATCAACTGGTGCTGAATTCGCTATGATGCACCACGTACCCTATCGAGAAGCTGTAGGATCGCTCATGTACGCCTCCCTTGCCACTTGTCCCAACATCTCATACACCATAACAACCAGTCTCACATTTCTCAGGGCAACCTTGGAATCACTCATTGGGAAGCTGTAAAGAGAATTTATTGGTACCTTCTCGGGACTGAAGGGCTTGCGACTCACATATGGGGGATCACCAAGTGCATTGACCGGGTACACAGATGCAGATGGCAGTATGGCAGAAGACTGCAGAGTGGTGTCACACACCAAAGGTGTTTGGTGAGGTGGACATGGATGTGGCTGGTGGGTGGAGGTGAAGACCATAGCCCTCATGCGAAGAAGGACAGCCAGCAATGTCAGCAGTCATCCCTCACACAAGAACAGGTTGTCAATGCCAAAGAAAAAGGAGGAGGCAGGTTAAGCAGCCAATAAAATTCTTAAGCGCCCGTGTACGGCATTCTGGTTTTCAATGTATCTCCACCAATTCTGCAGACACCGAAACCATTCCCACACTCGCTTGTAGTGCTCAGCCATGCGATCCTACCTTCCAAGATTGGAAAGGATTTGCACACTCCACACATTTCTACAGCACTCCCTCCAAAAGACTGCTCATTTTCGCTAATTCTTCTGATATGGCTGCCTCCACATCAGTCATTTCGCTTGTCCCCTTTGCTAGGGACCATGGCTACATATATCTACCAGGGGTTCCTACAAGCTTCCGTCCTGAAGCGTCCTGGTACATCCCACCCTCATCTGCCCCCTCTCAGCCCATCCAGCTTGGACAGCATGTTCTTTTTGTCAGTATGACCTCCAGGAGGACATTCTTTGGTCACCTCAGGTCTGTCATTCGCTTGGAAAGGTCTTATGTGGTCATTTCAGTCTCTCCGGTCCAAGAAGCATATGGATCCTTCCTCCCTGCCCCCTGCAATGTCTTCATACCAGTCTCGTCCATCATTCTTCCAAAATTGTGACAGCTACAGTATAATCTACTGTTCTCCACTCTCCCTGATCGCATCCATGATGAGTATGATGCACATCTTGCCTCCTTGTTGCAAGATACAGCAGAAGATGCTCCCCCTTCATCCTCTCTTCCAACAGAGCCTCATTCATGAAGTTTTTATTTGCTTCACTGAGAGGATGGTTTGGGGGGGAAAGTTGCGATCCCCTATGCTCCTGTCACCCCACAGACCCCCAAAGCTTGACCCCTGTTGACATCTGACTCACCCTGTCCGCTTTTGGATGTACTATATTGGCATCAGATCAGCGCTGCCTCTCTGTCATCCCACTTTGGCCTAGAGTGCACTTTCCCAGTTCCTGACATTGCTTGACTCATACTGTGACATTCTGACTGTCTTTGACTCACCTATTGCCAATACTTACCAATCTTTTGACTTTGCTTACTGATTCTTCGCTTTTTGGCTTACTTATCCTTACCAATGCTTACCAATGCTTTCCAAGACAATTACCCATCGCTTACATTCCTTACTCATCAGTTACCAATCGCTTACCAAGTGTTTGCACCTTGTTTTCCATAGGCAACGCCCCTGTATTGTATATAAGTCACTGTACTTAGGTAGCAAAAAAGAAGACATCAGAGAGCCCCTCTTGCTCGCAATTTATCATCTCTCAGTAAATCATTCATCAGCTTCGATAGTTGAGACTTTATTAAGGGTCTAGCTATCATCTACTTCGCTTATTATCATCTATTATCCATATACTTCGCTCCAAGCCCTCCCTGAGCTCAGTACAGCTTAGGACATCGAATTAAGTCACCATCCATCCTTCTGTAGGCTGATAGCAGTCTACCCTATCGCTTTCTATCACATTCTTGCTTCCTCTTTGTCAGGAGCACCCCCAACCCTCAGCACTCATCTTTGAGTGTTGTACAAAGAACAGGTTCTACCATCTGGGTACCACATAGGCACACCACCACTCACTTTCATTGTCTTTTGTGTTGGTTTTGGTTGGTTTTCACCACTGAACCTCACTTTGACTCACAGTGGTCTCAGGGTATGCTTTTCTAATAGACGGTGGAGAGGTGTCGTGGTCTTCTAAAAGACAGGAAATTGTCTCGCTCTCAATGACTGAGAGCAAATATGTGGCAGCCACACATGCAGCCAAGGAGGCCTTGTGGCTTCAGTTGCTCATCAGAGAGCTTTTTCAGCCATTCGTCGAGCCAACCACGTTGTTTTCCAATAATTAATCAGCCATCATGCTCACCAAAGACCACCAGTATCATGCATGCACCAAACACATCAATATCCGTTTTCACTTCATTCGCTGGGTCGTAGAGAATGGCAAAATTCACCTCATATATTGCCTGACCACAGACATGATCACCAATACATTAACAAAGGTGCTGCTGTCTCCGAAGGTGAAGCATTTCATGGTTGAACTTGGCCTACGTCTGACTTGAGGGGGAGTGTTAGATTTGGCAAGTCGCTCGTAGTCTTCATTCATTAATTGACACTACTTTTCCTTACCATGGGAAACACTTCCCGTTTATGGGTCTACAAGACCACAATACTTAGTCATTCTCGAGCACTGACAATACAGCATGGTAACTTTTGTTTTATTGTCTTCAAATGTTTCATATGTATAAATTAATGGTACAAGGACTTGCGCTATGACCATGCTTGTAGTTTCAACACTGGGTTCAACACCCATGTCTCACCCCTTTTGTTTCATATAGCATACTTAACTTGCTACTGTAGTAACACCACCTCAGACATTTGCTGCTCATGCACTCAACTGAGGTGGGTATAGTGTCTTGTTCCATGTTCATGTACTTTGTGCTCATGTCGTTACCTTAGATCTTGTTATAGGTAATGCAAATATAGATGTTTGCCACTCACGCACTCGACTAAGATCTCGTTATAGATTTCTGTGAGGTCAAACTGCTGTGCACTTCCTGCTTTGAACACACAGGAGTCATGGAATACAAAACCCAGGTTGCTCCAAAATACCAACTCATGCTCAATGTTATGATTGTCACAAAAATGTTTAGGGTCATGACAATGATGACAAATTGTAATACACATTATGAAACCCCTCTCCTGCTTAATAATGATCATCATAATGTTCTGGCAATGCAACCGAGATATGATAATCAACAAGTTCCATTATCTTCAGGGTAAGATTGCTGTAAGATCATCACAGTGGCATTGCAACATGGTGGCTTGCACTGCATGTTGTTGGTACATACTTTAATCCTCACGATCCCCTGCCCTTTTTCCTGAACCACTGCAATCCCTTCGTCTTCAGCATTTTGGAAATGGCCCCCATTTGTCATGCAAAATATAACTATTCAGAGAAAACACTTTCAAAAACATCGAAGTGCCAAATCTGCAGAAAACTATTCAAACCTCAGGGCATCAAGAGCCATGTGACACACTGTGTGGCTCATCAAACAAGGGAAATACAATGAATAGATGCTACTAAGGAATATGGGAGGGAAAAGGTGCGAGGTGCATCCAGTTTTTGCTGTGTATCATTCTCAGCTGAGGAATTGAGGGTAGCATTGGTCACATCTGCATACTCGACAGTGCACACACACATCACGCAGGCAGGCCCTTCTCAAGTAGCCCACACGCTTAATGAAGATAATGATGGATTGCCAAGTACATTTCATTCAACCTATGATATACCTGCACTTAAGGCTGTTTTCTTTACAGCTCCCAACATTTCTCACTTGGGATGCATGGATTTTGTTGATCAGGACGTGTGGGAGCCTCATGGAGATCCCACTGCACAAAGTGGTGAGTGCATGAACTCAGCACTACCTGGTTTCCAAGTGTGCCATACTAAGTACATACATGCTTGATATGAATAGATCAATCAAATGTCTCCATGGCAAGTAATGGCAGTGACTGAATGCCATCCCCTGAACAGCCGCCTGCTGACTTCAAGACTGAGTTCCATCCCTGCAGCAATACCCCATCGCTTTTCCAGTCACAAGAAGAATTTGGTCAGTGTGCTACTGCTACGATGGCCCCTGATCCACACCCATGGTGCCCATTTATCAAGGAGGGTGACTACTTGTTTGCTGAAATAGCATTGCAAGTGGGCCTCAATGTGTCACAGATCAATGGGCTGCTTTCCCTCATTTCATGCATCGTCCAAGGAAAGGCAAATGTTACCTTGTGGAATGATGTTGACCTTCAACGTGCATGGGACAGGGTGGCCATGCAGGTGACACTGGTACGTTCTTTCTCTTCATACACCATGAGCTTCTGTGCATTCATCCACAAGCTTCTACTCTAGTTTACACGACACAACATGACTGCACCTTATAAAGGAGAGAACTTAACATTCCCAGTTTATGCATGTTCATTATGGGAGTGGGCTCTTGATCTCTTATTGAACCCCCTCCTTGCATCTCACTTCATCTGGGATGCCCAATGGGTCTTCTGACATAATGGCCATGAGTATGAGAGATTCTACTCAGAACCATGGACTGGTGATCGCTGGTGGGACATTCAAGTATGTTGTAATAACCTGTATACTTTGTATATACCATGTTTAACTTGCACTTGCTTCTAGTCTTGTTTACCTCAGGTTGAAAATGTGGCCCCATCTGCTTTTATCCTATATACCGACTGAACACGTCTAAGTTCCCATGGAACTGTCAAGGGTTATCCTGTCATAGCTCGTTGTGGAAATCTGCCCATGAACATCAGGAATGGAGAGTGCTTTGGTGGTGGATGTGTCATCAGCTGGTTGCCTATTGTAAGTTACTGAGTGCAGGCTTCAGTGTCCTTGCTCATGTATATTATGCAAGGTTCCCGAGTCTGCCAAAGAAGAGGGGAAGACTGGCTACACCAATTACAAACACGTTATTTGGCATGAAGCATTCCTTTGTATCATTGATAGACTTGCCAAACTCTCAAAGCTAGGATACAAATATGAGTGCTATGAGAAGATCACTCAGTGGCTCTTTCCCTTGATTCTCATCTTATCTGCTGATTATGAAGAACAGTAAGTTGAGGGCACTACAAGTGTGCATTGACATACTAATAACTATGTTGACATTAGATGCATGATGAGCCTAATTCGAGGCACGAAGAGTAAACATCCATGCCCAGTTTGTTTGGTTCCCCTTGAGGATTTATCCCAGCTTGCCAAATCATTTCCAACATGTACCATAAGACAGGCAAAAGAAGCCCTCACCATCTATCAGGAAAAGAAGTCAGCCAGTGAACCGATCCTCAAAGCCCTTGGGCTTTGGCCAGTTGCGGTGAGTTTTGTATTTATTAGTGACTCTTGCCAACCACGTAACCAAATCACAAGAACATTTTCTGGAAGGTTGAGAACTCGGAGCCGGAGGAAGCTGTGAGCTTTGACTGCCTCCATGCTCTGCATGATGGTCTTTTTGGGCACCACTTACTCGAAGAACTCAAGATTCTTTTAAGCAAATTACCATGTAAGTATGCAGCACAACTTGAGGAGCAGTATGTACTACCCTCTATTTACTTCGCTAAGACATCCTAATCCTAAATTGAATGCAGGCTTGCAGCATTTCCAAGCTGGCAAGGTTTGGCACACTTCAATGGCATCCTACATGTAAGCTATGCTGATGGGAACAAACTCCAAGATCTCGCACGGGTGAGATTCTTCTTTTGACTTCCTGGTATAAGCTAATGAACTCACAAGCAAACCTTCTATGCTGCTTTGAATATTCTGACAAACGACATAAGCTGTGAAGGCTACCAGCTCCTACAGATGCTCCGCAGCTACTTAGAATTGGACAGTCTCATTGGGCTGGATGTGCACACTGACAAGACCCTTGAATTGATAGAGAGGGAGCAGTTGGTTTTCGGGAGTGAGCTAAAGGTATGTGATATTTCCTTGCTGTTTGAGTTGACTGTTGATCCCCTGCTCTGACCTAGGAGTATGTCTCCCATGTGGCTAATGGTGAGCTAGCAGAACACCTCAAAACGGACTGGAATTTTCCAAAGGTCCATCTTTGGAAACATGTCATGTGGGACATTTGGAATAAAGGAGCAGCCCATAACTACAGCACTCGGCCCAACAAGAAAATGCACAGCTCACTTAAAGATGCATATCAGGACTGCTCAAATGGTAAGGACATTGCCATTCAGGTGCATCCAGCTTCTGCTCTTCTCATCTCACTCAGTCCTGCTGACCTGAAGTCACATAGGTCCTTCATGTCGACCACCACCACTTAGCCATGAAACTAATTAGGAACCAGGTGGATGCTGAAGCCAATCATACACAGCAAGATCATGATGATGATGATATTGACAGCGGGGGTGATGAGGATGTCCTCATGAGTTTCAGTGAGCATGTTAAGCTCGGTTCACTGCAGTCACTGAAGAGCATTCAATCGATCATTCATGATCATGCTTCACAGCAAGAATTCCAAGGTTTCCATCAGAAGTTTACTTGGTTCATCAATCAGTGCCTTCCTATCTACCTCAATCGCAACCAGAATTCTTGGAAAAATATCTCATTTGCCAAAATGTTCCAGGTACATTTCACCATGTTGCATAGTAGTCATTACCCCATCTCACAATGACCTACACATGTAGTTGCAGGAACATGCTTACCTCAAGGTCAATTACAAATCAAGGATGGACTGGTGGCAAGCTACCAACTACCTATGGTGCAACCCTTCGTTCCACGGCAAGCCTCGTTATGACACTGTCCTCTTTCAGCTTTTGCATAGTGAGATTGCTTTTGCTCACTTGGTATTCATGTTTTCATGCAATATTCCTGACTTCAGCACCTATCAATTTGCTCTCATTTGCCCCTATACAGCCAACATCAATGTGGCTCGCAGCTCCTTTGACAATGCCTTCAGGCTCGCACACATTAAAGCACATCCCCACACAGTGTCAATATTCATCCCCATCCAGTCCATTGTTAGGGGAGCGTTGCTGTACCCTGACCCCAAATATAAAGACAAATATTTTGTGGTGGAGCACATCGATGGAGACATGTTTTGTCACGTCAACAAGTGGAACGGGCATCATCTAGACCAGGAGTAAGGAAACGTTATATCATACTTTAGATAGCTGCTCTCTTTTCCTCATACCAATGCTCTGTGCTAGCATATTCTGAATCTCTCACTGGATCTCTAACAATGATACAGTTTATCCTTCAAATTGTTGTCACTATGTTTTGAGTTACTAATTCCGATCTCTTGAGTCATAATATTGCATGTTTACTGACATCATGTCAACTCAATAACATCAAAGTGGCAGTGGCGGTGTGAGTCAAAGTGTGGTTCAGTGGTGAAAACCAACCAAAACCAACACAAAAGACAACAAAAGTGAGTGGTGGTGTGCCTATGCGGTACCTAGATGGTAGAACCTGTTTTTTTTTTTGGGAGGGTTTCTGCGAGCTACAACACTCAAAGATGAGTGCTGAGGGTTGGGGGTGCTCCTGACAAAGAGGGAGCAAGAATGTGATAGAAAGTGATAGGGTAGACTGCTGTCAGCCTACAGAAGGATGGATGGTGACTTAATTCGATGTCCTAAGCTGTACTGAGCTCAGGGAGGGCTTGGAGCGAAGTATATGGATGATAGATGATAATAAGCGAAGTAGATGATAGCTAGACCCTTAATAAAGTCTCAACTATCGAAGCTGATGAATGATTTACTGAGAGATGATAAATTGCGAGCAAGAGGGGCTCTCTGATGTCTTCTTTTTTGCTACCTAAGTACAGTGACTTATATACAGTACAGGGGTGTTGCCTATGGAAAACAAGGTGCAAACACTTGGTAAGCGATTGGTAACTGATGAGTAAGGAATGTAAGTGATGGGTAATCATCTTGGAAAGCATTGGTAAGCATTGGTAAGGATAAGTAAGCCAAAAAGTGAAGAATCAGTAAGCAAAGTCAAAAGATTGGTAAGTATTGGCAATAGGTGAGTCAAAGACAGTCAGAATGTCAAAGTATGAGTCAAGCAATGTCAGGAACTGGGAAAGTGCACTGGAATTGCATTAGGGGGAGGCTGTGCATGTCACATCTTGAAGAGATCGCTTCTAGGCCAAAGTGGGATGACAGAGAGGCAGTGCTGATCTGATGCCGATATAGTACATCCAAAAGTGGACAGGGTGAGTCAGATGTCAACAGGGGTCAAGCCTTGGGGGTCTGTGGGGTGACAGGAGCATAGGGGATCGCAACTTTCCCCCCCAAACCATCCTCTCAGTGAAGCAAATAAAAACTTCATGAATGAGGCTCTGTTGGAAGAGAGGATGAAGGGGGAGCATCTTCTGCTGTATCTTGCAACAAGGAGGCAAGATGTGCATCATACTCGTCATGGATGCGATCAGGGAGAGTGGAGAACAGTAGATTATACCGTAGCTGTCACAATTTTGGAAGAATGACGGATGAGACTGGTATGAAGACGTTGCAGGGGACAGGGAGGAAGGATCCATATGCTTCTTGGACTGGAGAAACTGAAATGACCACATAAGACCTTTCCAAGCGAATGACAGACCTGAGGTGACCAAAGAACGTCCTCCTGGAGGTCATACTGACAAAAAGAACACACTGTCCAAGCTGGATGGGCTGAGAGGGGGCAGATGAGGGTGGGATGTACCAGGACGCTTCAGGATGGAAGCTGGTAGGAACTCCTGGTAGATATATGTAGCCATGGTCCCTAGCAAAGGGGACAAGCAAAATGACTGATGTGGAGGCAGCCATATCAGAAGAATTAGCGAAATGAGTGTCTTTTGGAGGGAGTGCTGTAGAAACGTGTGGAGTGCACAAATCCTTTCCAATCTTGGAAGGTATTGAGCACTACAAGCGAGTGTGGGAATGGTTTCGGTGTCTGCAGGAATTGGTGGAGATACAGTCGAAAACATGGAATGCTGTACATGGCGCTTAAGAATTTTATTGGTGCTTAACTCGCCTCCTCCTTTTTCCTTGGCATTGACAACCTGTTCTTGTGCGAGGGATGACTGCCGACATTGCTGGCTGTCCTTCGCATGAGGGCTATGGTCTTCACCTCCATTCATCAGCTACATCCATGTCCACCTCACCAAACACCTTTGGTGTGTGACAGCGGATAGCTGAGATACATGGTTAAATCATAGATCAACCCATCGAGGATCCCGACCAATGATCCACTATTGGCCATATCCTTAATCTCTGAAGGCATGTACCCGACATACCCAATGCAATTATTCCACTGCATGATCGTCATGCTCTTGAAATACCAGTTTGGGCAAGAGTCATTGGTAAAAGCATGGAAGTTGTGGTACTGAGCATTGGGGTTGGTGTTGTTGGTGGAGTCGAGCATCACCCAGGGGCTCACAGAACCTGAGATGCTGTTACATAGCATGCTCGCCTATGTCTTTACATCGGAGGAGACCACACTAAGATACCCTGCACAGGGAAAATCACATCTGAAGCCATGCCACCATACTGGAGGACAGACTTGGTCGACACCATGCTAAAGACACTGCTGATGTGTCGCTGCCATGGCAGTCAAATCAAAGACCCCTCCTCGATTCAACATATAAACGTTATTCGGATTGTTTTGATATGAATGCGAATGCCAGTTCAGATGTGCTGAATGCATACTGAGTAGGTCAGAAGACCAACCCCAGCATAGTAATGATGAAAACATACACAGTGACAGTAACAAGCTGAATTAGCGTTGATATGAGATCCATTGCGACGAACAGAGGCTGCAGTGCTGATCTGAGGGTGTGAGTCCACTGAGGTTATGAGTGGTCAAGTTGATATGACGATGAGGTTGCGAGCTAAGCAGAACCTTCTAATCATCCAGAGTGACCATCTTGGCATGAGCATCTCTGATAAATTGTGCCTTGTACATTATGAAGTGTTTGGCAACAGGGTTGTCGGAAAACGATCTTCTCTGGGGTGCAGCAGGTCCTTCATTTGTGGGGTAAGTCACGCCGCCCCTGCAGCACCTCACAAAATGTACTGGGCTTTCTTCCCACTCGCATGCCATCAGCTAATGGCAACTGAGTGGCCAGTCAACTGGGTAATATGGGCGGAGTGACCCCATTCTGTCAACATTACCTCAGGCTCGCCTTTCATGTCTGATGATGAATGGACCTGAACCATCCTTACTCCTCAAGATTGATGAGCTTGACATATACTGACCACTGCGAAGTCAGGTCCATCTGAACCATTCAAAGGTGCTGTTCGGAGACGGTTACATAATTAGCATTCTTGAGCCTCACTTAGTCTGCATGTTCAGGGTAGATCAGCGGACATGCAATTGAAAGAAACTATGTATCACCACAATAGTCAGTATGTGTGAAATGTTATATGAGCTGTAGTGGAGGTATCACTATTTCTTTTGTCTAGTAATGCAGGTAACCCTTGCTGGAACAGCCCCGATGCCTTCCTCCATTGCCTTAGCCTGTCCTTGGGTTGCTTTCTTGCCTTTCTTAGTGGCCTTGGAGGAATGGCCACTCACTAAGGCTGGCACAACAACAAGGGGGTCGAGAGGATTCAGATGGGTTGAAACAGATGGTTGGGAGCCTGCCAAGAGAAAGAGTGGAGAGGGGAAGGGAGAGTTCTGAACTGGTTGCCGAACACAATCACTGACTGTGAAGGAGAGACGGTCCCAGCCTCTAGAACAGAAATACTAAGGTTTGTATTTGGCTGAATAGCACCGGAGATGGAAGTGCCATTCCCCCAGGCAGTGCTGGTGGCACCAAGCGAGTTCGTATGTATCTGAGGAGGGAAGTCTTCAGCTTGAATGGTGCTGGTGAGAATGGAAGGGTGTGTAGCTGACTGGCTGGTGATGGGGACAGTGGGAGGGTTTGAGTTTACCTCTGCAGTCCTGCTGACACCTCCAAGTTGTGCCAAGATATCATCTTCCCAGCTTCTCGGTGCCTCAACAGAATCTTCAGCTTCAGGAGGTGGTTGTTGGGATCCATCACGTTGGTTTGCGCCAAAGATGGCATTATCAAAGTGCTCAAAGATCCCCAAAGCCCACTTCTTGTTCTCTTGTTTTTGGAGCAGCTCTATATAGAATTCGAAGTCCTTCTCATATGAAATTCCAGTTTGACTACCAGTAGATGAGAATTCATCATCCCCAGAGAGCAGGAAGCGGGCCTAGCAATGTATGATGAGTGGGTGGCTGTCAGCACAGGTAGGATGTAATTTGACTCACAAATGTACAACAAATTGTGATGATGCCCTCTGGCATTGTTGTTGCCTTCAATTTCTGACCCCTGCCAGGTGGACCACCTTTTTTCTTGCCTGTCAGGACACCTTTTCCGAAGTGCAACACACATGCAATCTAATATAACAAGACAATCAGCTGTGAGCATGTCCAATACATTCAGCCAGGAAGTGGTTTACCTGAGTGAGCGCCTTGTTTTTGAAGAGGCCAGAGACATTCATTGCTGATGGGTCTTCAAAAAGGATTGGTGCGAGTGGTGTATATGCCTCATCATGGTTTCGCTGGGTTTCGCTTGAGGAGTGACAAAAGGCAGGATTGTCCAGTTCTCTTTCTCCAGTCACCGAGTGCCACCAGGATCCAGTCCTGGACTCAAATGAGCAAAGAGTTGTGTGACGGAGTCCTTGACAGGTTTAAGAATGTTGCCACAGTTCACCATTCACCATAGATGTGAACTGTGAGAAGCAATAGTTAGCAATTGTTTGCTGGATTAGGTATTCTTCACTTATGAGTTGCTCGAAGTGTTCATACTTCATAGTCTGAGCCTGAAGCTCAGGGGGAACCATAAGGTAAAGTTCGGCACCATTAGCAATGGCCTTGGACTCAGGAGCTTTGATAATGTATTGGATCAGTGTAAATCAAAGTCAGGAGGGCATGCACTGAAGAGGGAAGACACCGCTAGGGACCCATAAGTGATAAAAGTAAGCATACTTCTTTGCTAGGGTGACAATGGCGGCATCCAGTGGGCCTTGAGCAATCAACTTGAGGGCCTGGGATTGTGCTCTGGGTGCTACCTTGGCCTTAAATTCATTTAGCTCGTTCCTCATCTTTATTAGTTCCTCTCGTAGGCGATTGAAGGAGACCTGCGCTTGGCCCAGTGGCTAGTAGTGGTAGTCAGTAATATTCAGTTTCGTAGGCAGGTCAGAATGCATACCTGGTGCAACTCAGCAGGGCTCGCATCCGGTGCAGGGGTAGCCATAACCCTTCGCACCTCATCGAGTTCCCTGTCCAAGTTAGTGCCTGCACCTCTGGCCTGCCCCATGGTTTGCTGTGCGCAGGACATCCTCATCATTATCGATATTCTTGTCAAGGCTATCATGGCCCACAGCGTCGATATCTAGAGTAAAATCCTCGGACATCACTGGAAACTGGTAAAACAGACCTAGTCAAGGTTGCAGCTGATGTTCCATGACCAGTGTGCAAAAAATCGGGGGTGAGGTCCTCGTACTAAATGTTGGCACCGAGCAGATCCTTTTGAAGGGTGTTCAACGAGGCAAAAGACAGAAATGATGTTGACTAACCATTTACACCAGTGCAACATTGTTGAGGTATCTTACCTCACTGTTACCTACCAGTAGAGCATACCAAGTTAGAATGGCAGCCAGGAGAACCAATCGGAATGGCAATAAGAGCAGACTCACCATTTGAACATGTCTGTAGGAGTAATACCATTTGTTGTAGTCCAGATAAAGGCCCCGCTGTCACACACCAAAGGTGTTTGGTGAGGTGGACATGGATGTAGCTGATGAATGGAGGTGAAGACCATAGCCCTCATGCAAAGAAGGACAGCCAGCAATGTTGGCAGTCATCCCTTGCACAAGAACAGGTTGTCAATGCCAAGGAAAAAGGAGGAGACAAGTTAAGCGCCAATAAAATTCTTAAGCGCCTGTGTACAGCATTCCGGTTTTTGACATATCTCCACCAATTCTGCAGACACCGAAACCATTCCCACACTCGCTTGTAGTGCTCAGCCACGTGATCCTACCTTCCAAGATTGGAAAGGATTTGCACACTCCACATGTTTCTACAGCACTCCCTCCAAAAGACACTCATTTCGCTAATTCTTCTGATATGGCTGCCTCCACATCAGTCATTTCGCTTGTCCCCTTTGCTAGGGACCATGGCTACATATATCTACCAGGAGTTCCTACCAGCTTCCGTCCTGAAGTGTCCTGGTACATCCCACCCTCATCTGCCCCCTCTCAGCCCATCCAGCTTGGACAGCATGTTCTTTTTGTCAGTATGACCTCCAGGAGGACATTCTTTGGTCGCCTCAGGTCTGTCATTCACTTGGAAAGGTCTTATGTGGTCATTTCAGTTTCTCCAGTCCAAGAAGCATATGGATCCTTCCTCCCTGCCCCCTGCAACGTCTTCATACCAGTCTCGTCCGTCATTCTTCCAAAATTGCGACAGCTACAGTATAATCTACTGTTCTCCACTCTCCCTGATTGCATCCATGATGAGTATGATGCACATCTTGCCTCCTTGTTGCAAGATACAGCAGAAGATGCTCCCCCTTCATCCTCTTTTCCAACAGAGCCTCATTCATGAAGTTTTTATTTGCTTCACTGAGAGGATGGTTTGGGGGGGAAAGTTGCGATCCTCTATGCTCCTGTCACCCCACAGACCCCCAAGGCTTGACCCCTGTTGACATCTGACTCACCCTGTCCACTTTTGGATGTACTATATCAGCATCAGATCAGCACTGCCTCTCTGTCATCCCACTTTGGCCTAGAAGCAATCTCTTCAAGATGTGACATGCACAGCCTCCCCCTAATGCAATTCCAGTGCACTTTCCCAGTTCCTGACATTGCTTGACTCATACTTTGACATTCTGACTGTCTTTGACTCACCTATTGCCAATACTTACCAATCTTTTGACTTTGCTTACTGATTCTTTGCTTTTTGGCTTACTTATCCTTACCAATGCTTACCAATGCTTTCCAAGATGATTACCCATCGCTTACATTCCTTACTCATCAGTTACCAATCACTTACCAAGTGTTTGCACCTTGTTTTCCATAGGCAACACCCCTGTACTGTATATAAGTCACTGTACTTAGGTAGCAAAAAAGAAGACATCAGAGAGCCCCTCTTGCTCACAATTTATCATCTCTCAGTAAATCATTCATCAGCTTTGATAGTTGAGACTTTATTAAGGGTCTAGCTATCATCTACTTCACTTATTATCATCTATTATCCATATACTTCGCTCCAAGCCCTCCCTGAGCTCAGTACAGCTTAGGACATCGAATTAAGTCACCATCCATCCTTCTGTAGGCTGATAGCAGTCTACCCTATCACTTTCTATCACATTCTTGCTCCCTCTTTGTCAGGAGCACCCCCAACCCTCAGCACTCATCTTTGAGTGTTGTAGCTCACAGTAACCCTCCCAAAAAAAAAAACAGGTTCTACCATCTAGGTACCACATAGGCACACCACCACTCGCTTTTGTTGTCTTTTGTGTTGGTTTTGGTTGGTTTTCACCACTGAACCACACTTCGACTCACACCACCTGCTGTCATTATGCCCACTGGTACACAAGCAGGCAGAGGCATTGACACACAATTCATGAGTTCCACCATCATCAATCTGTTCAAGATCAACTCTGGGAAGGATTTTATGAAGAAGTTCAAGGATGGTCTTGGACTTGATTCTGCAATGCTCGAAAGCCAGAGGACGTGTCTTCACAATCTATTCTTGATCGGTGTGGTCAACAATCGAAATTTGCCTCAGTGTCTGTTCTTGCAATATATCTTGCTCATCCTTTCAGTTCTCATGGTCTCCATCATCAGGTTCAAATTCATTGCATCGATCAATTTCAGGGCTGTTCGTGCACCCAAGGACCATGACAAGTTCATGATTTGCCAAGTTCCGTGTTACACTGAAGGCAAGGCATCACTTCAGCATATGATCAATTCATTGGCTGTGCTCAAGTATGACAATAAGTGCAAACTGATCCTCATCGTGTGCGACAGGAACATTGTCGGATCTGGCAATGATCACCTGACACCACATATCGTGCTTGATATTCTGGGTGCTGACCCAAACTTGGACCCTGAACTGCTCAGTTTTGTATCAATCAGCAAGGGCGCCCGACAGCATAATATGGCCAAAGTGTACTCAGGTCTGTACAAGTGTGCTGGACATGTCATGCCTTACCTTGTGGTTGTCAAGGTTGGGAAGCCAACAGAGGTCACATCCTGGAAATCATGGTAAGCGTGATTCACAGATGGCAGTCATGCATTTCTTGAACAAGGTATGTTGGTTCACATTTACATGAGTTTTTGGGTGCCAACAGTGGGTTTTTAGGTGCATTACAATATGCTGATGAATCCCCTTGAGCTCGAGATGTATCACCAGATCAAGAACGTCATTGGCGTCAACCCAACATTTTATGAGTATCTATTTGCTGTCGATGCAGATATGACTGCAGAGCCATATGCACTTAACCGCCTCATTTCTGCGTAAGTCATGTTGTGCTGCTTGGTAGGGGATTCGAGGAAACTGACCAGCCATAGAATGATTCATGACAAGAAAGTCCTTGGCATGTGCAGTGAAACATCCCTCACTAATGCCAAACAGTCGATTGTGACAATGATGCAGGTGCGTATAGTCCCTGTGATGTCTTTGTTTGGTGCAAGGGCTGAGGGTGGTTCGTTAGGTGTACGAGTACTTCATCTCCCATCACATGGCGAAGGCGTTTGAGAGTCTGTTCAGCTCGCTCACTTGCTTGCCTGGTTGTTTCACCTTGTTCCATCTGCACATGCCAGACATGCACAATGTCTCCAACCAAATTACCCAAGATTATTCCCAGAACTGTGTCGAATACCCTACACATGAAGAACTTACTGCTTCTCAGAGAAGATCATTATTTGACAACCCTATTGCTCAAACACTTTCCTGATGTACAAGACTGCAATTTATCAGGGATGCTCATGCTGAGACTGGTCAGCTCCAGACGATTAGAAGGTTCTGCTCTCACAATGTTCATCATTGGATCAACTTGACCATTCATAATCTTGGTGAACTCATGTTCCTGGATCAGCTTTGTGGTTTCTGTTGCTTCTCCATGCGTTTCATTGTCATGATGGATCTCATATCAATGCTGATTCAGTCTGTCACTGTCGCATATGTAGGTTGATTCATTGTCCTTGGAGCGTGATGATGCTTATAAGATTACAGATCGTCTACTTGATTGTGTTGGTCATTTACGAGCACAGTACCATCCCCTTCATCTTCCTTGTCATGATTGCTGCTGTGTATGGCTTGCAAGCCTTTGTGTTCATTCTGCATCACAAGTGGGACATGGTTGGATGGATGGATTTCTATATCTTGGCCATCCCGATTTTCTCATTCATGCTTCCAATCTACTCATTTTGGCATATGGACAATTTCTCATGGGGTGCCATGTGTGTTGTACTGGGAGAATCTGGAAAGAAGATCATCGTTCACGTAGGTGGCTTAATCTTGAATGCATTATGTTGCTGATCGCTGTTATTGTGTGTTAGGACGAAGGCAAGTTTGATCCTCACTCTATTCTCCTCAAAACATGGAATGACTATGTGTGTCGTCCCGCCATTTGCTTTGACAATAAAGGACTGACATCTTGCAGGAAAATGAGTTGTGGGACCGAGAATCCAATCACAGCATTGGCTCTTGGGTACCCCCCACCCAATTCTGCAAGGAAGGATTGTACTGCATCCCTGTACAACCACAAAACCTTTTACGAGCCTTGTACCCAATCACCTGCTCCCTTGCAGTTTTGCAGTACTCCTAGCTGGTATGCAATCTGGTCACAATACTCCTCTGTCGATGGTGATGTCGTATATGTGTCCTTGAGTGAAGCTGGAATACTACCTCAACAGATGCTCTCAAGACCCCCCGACAACTTATATGACACATGAGATGGACTTTGGAGCTGTGGTGCCAAGCAATGTTGACCTGGAGTGTGCCATTCAGAATATTTTGCAAACTGCAGACCCGAATACCATCACAAAACACAAGATTCTAAATTATTTGATGTCATCTGAAGCTGGGGGCAGCAGTTTGGGATGGATTTATGTTCAAGCACCACATTATAGTACTTGGGGGTTCATCGTGCAATCAAACTACTGTCCAATGTGGCAAGGACCTGCTCAACATTTAATTTGCAGTGCGACATAGAGACCTTTGGACGTGATTATGCCAATGATATTATATTATTATATTACCATTCTTTGATGATTACTATAATAAGACACTGGTCTATGTCAGGATTCTTTTCGGCTAATTTTAATTTTAATACTCTTGGTCTGCAACCACAACCATGCCCATTCACCACAACCATTCTCATTCACCATGACCATGCCTGTTCACCATGACCATGCCCATTCACCACAGTTGTACCCCTCCCACAGTCCGCATACGTTCCACTGCCTTCATATTCCATTCCCTCCCGATACTCCAGAGGCATCTCCATCTTACTCTATGCCAGAATCCACCTCCTTGGCTTCCTCCGCTGCGCCCCCACCATGCACTAAGACATGACCATTGTTGCCATCGACAATGACCCTACCAATTCATTCCTTGTTCTCCCAAGTTAAGTTCCATGTCACTAAGGACACATTGAGGGTGCTGAGATCTCCAGCAACAGCAACCAATCTGCTTGCTCTTCTCTGTCATTGACCCTACCAGAATCGATTAATAGACATCCTTGTCTATATTCCCATGTCAGTCCACCAGCACACTGCACTCCCAGGTCACTGAACTTTATTTTATGCAGACAGTGCCATCCCCCCCCCTCCCCACATGTACCCCATTGCCTCCTCACATGCAACATCATTCTGATGCCCACACCTGCTGTATTGCACCTCTGATACCTAGATGCCCCACAACCTCCTGCCCCCTCTATGCCCTCACCTTGCCTGTCCATGCCTGGTGTTCATCTCTCCCCAAACCATTGCAGTGCACTGATAGCCCTCAAGGCTTAGTGAGGTAGGTGGCTTTCTCAATCAACCACAGTTAGTTCCATCTAACCATTGTTGGGCATAGAAGTACTGTCATTTGTGACCTCAGTGTTTGCTGTGCACCATTGCTAGTACATTATTTCATACATGTAGTGTGTTAATCCCATAGTTGTTTGAATCCATGGTTCTCAATAATAGCAAAAATAGGAACCTGAAAAATAAAAATGAAAACATGAAGATTATAATGGGTGGCAAAGCATGGCCATGCATGGTAATGGTGTCTGCAGTATTGTATGTACTTGGCATGCTGTTGTGTACTCGACAATGGTGTCACGTGCTTAATCATGCATGTCAATGACATCACCATCAGGCACCATAACCATGACATTACCAGACATGGTTATAACACCCCCAAGCTTTATATTGTTGACCCCTTGGATGACAAAGCCATTGTCAATTAGATCTCCCCCCATGGCAACCCATTGTCATGCCCGAAGCGAAAACACCCCATTACAATTATGTACAATGGCATGTAATGGTACCTAGATTTTTCTGACAATGGCCACACTGAAAGTACTCTGCTTCAATATGAATTTCCAGTAGTCAACATGGCCACTTACTGTCAAGGTGCCCTGCACCACTCCATCCTCTATCTGAATATCATTAGACAGGTTTCACTGACCCTGACATACTATACCTTGTTTCCCTTCCCATCGAAAATCTCTGGCTCATCCGTAAAGTTGCAGACTCTTTGGAGGATGGTAGTTTTACCAGCATTTGCTCTGCCCATGATCAGAATCCAATAGCGCTCGATGTTTTTCATGTATTCTTGAGCCATCCTAGAATCGAGGCAATAAGAGGGTCCAGAAGACGTAGGTGCTATGTCTCGGTATTAGACAGTTTGGCGTTCACCAAACACAAAAATAATACCTTGGGGAGTAGTTTCAATCTGAGCAGGAACTGGACTCACCGCATCACCAGCAAGATCGTTAGCTTCTGTATCGACAACCGGGGGCCATGTCAATGTAAATACGATTCTGTATACTCCAAAGCCCAGATCTTAAGGCATGCCAAGGATTAGCATGAAGTCCATCGTCGTGGAATGAGGGTAGAACGATGAGCGACAGCTTGATCGATATCAAGGCGTCCATCTCCTTAAATAACCGGTGTAACTAAGGCCTTGCAAGTTGGATTGCGACCTTGACGACAACGGCCAACAGACTTTTATATGAGAACAATCGATGCCCAAACCCTGAAGAAATCATGTAAAGTTTGTGCTAGTTATTTCTTCGTGTTCACGAGAGCCTACCTCAAACGTATCCTATATCTACAACCTTCCCTCCGTGGAACAGATGAAGGGGTCTACAGACTGCATCAGTACCCCTTTGCACGACCACTTCTTGTGACAGAATGACTGCCGCCATCGGTCCTGCAGAGTCGAGTTCACGGTGGCAGAAAAATTTGTGAGTTCTCCATTTGCCCCTGTGTAGCTCCATCGGACGTTGTATCTAGCAGAGTTCGAGAGCCGTGGCATCGAATATCGACCGAGAGACCAGAACAAGATCTGGATTTGTAACGGGATTGACTCTGCTGTTCCTTAGCAAGGATGGTCAGGCTAACGTATGTCATCTGATTCGTTCATGCTGTTTCATGTGAAACCTCGCATGTCACAGGTCGGATTGTAGAGGGTCGCTTTCGGTTCTCCTTCGACATGTAGGTATGTATAATACCCCCACAACTCGCGAGGTGTCCTGGTAATGTCCAGCCGACACCAAGCAATGCTGTGTGATTCAATGGCACATCCTCGTCGGTCAATGCATTTTCCGATCAATATCAATCGCATGTGCAGAGGGAATTGTGGGTTGGAGACGAGCTTCAAGGACATGACGCTGGTAAGACACAATACGGAGGCGAAAAAATCTCGCTCGCCAGGATCTGTGATGTTGGCGAAAGATGGTGGGTGGAGGTTTGAGAGGAACATCGTGATTCAATTGCGATCGAGGTTGGGACAGGTAGATGGCATCCTTCCTAGCGCTCGTGTTAGGGTCATTGAGCAGGTAAAGGTCGACAGGAGGAAGTGCATACGAGTTCAGAGGGCTGATTAGGGGTAGCGGTTACTTAATCGTCAGTCTCGTCGGACATACCCACACCGGCAAACAACCGATGAAATCACATGCACATACATAAATCAGGCACAACACAAGGCAACAAGGACAGGGAAGGGCCAAGAGGGAGAGATAGAAATACGAGAACTAGAGATACCACTAGCAAATTGAATGGACATGTACACTTGCAGGTCCATCACCGAACGCTTCAACGATCCTCCTTCAACACATCCCTCATCGTCATTATCAAACTCCCTGTCGAAAGCGACACTTTACTCAGCAGATGCAGTGTTTACCCGGTCTCTTAAGTCCCCCGTGAGCGTGTCAGGTGTGGCAACGGCCGTCGAGGACGCACAGGAATTGAGAAGGAGAGGTTTGATCACGCGGGCGTAGGTGACATATCCACCCTATGATTTGTGGCGATGGTTGGCGGTTAGATTTGAATGAGGCGGACGGCAACTCACCCTGAAGGCTGGCAACTGCAACCACAACAAAAACACGGTCTTAAGGACGAAATACCACGGAAGGTAATACAGCACCACTCCCATAGCGAAGGTCTCGACGAATCCCAGCGAGGCGAAGACGACCCAGTAAGTGATCCACTGGACGTCGTCTTGGTGGCCAGGGGACTCGAGGGCCTTGAGCGAGAGATAGGCGGGGAGGGCGAAACCCATGACGTAGGAGACGGGTGCGGCGAGCGGGGTTATGAGGTGAAAGATGGCGAGAAGGAGCAAGGTGGAGAGAACGAAGTAGGATTTTGGGATTTGAGTACGGGTCTCGATAGTCGTCAGGGCTGGGTACTTCGTTAGCTGTATGAAGAGAAAGGAAACGTGGATACCGCGTGTTGGGGGGGGTGCGTGCCACATAACGATAGTACGAGCATATCAAGCCCGAAACAAGAGCCACAAAAAAAGATGAAAGAAAAGAGTGAGCGGCGAGAGACGAAAATGAAGAAAGAGTGACAGACAGACCTCCTTGTCGAGTTGGCTGGTGTAATATTTCACCTTGTTCTGTGCTTGAACGAAGATAGGATGTTGCTGCAAATTCTGTGCTGCCGACATCTGCACATATCCCCGAAGGTCATTGGCCCGGTCAGAAGACATCGATAGATCAGCGACCGACCTTGAAGAAAGAAAAAAAAGGGAGTAGCGATGTGAGTGGGCTGGCAGAGGTGACTGCTGCGGGCAACGGAGTTGGGGGGAGGACACGAAGGCAGCGCGCGGCGAGGGCCGTTGAATATGGGATTTGATGACACGTGTTTGGCACTCCTCCACGCCAGCCCTACGTCAGCATCACCGGAGTTCCATCAACATCATCATCATCATGGACTACGCAACGATACAGGTAGGCCAGTGCTGTTTCATCCAAGGGAAACCTGCTCACGATGGACAAAAAGACGCTCCACAACTCTCTTCCCTCGTTCTCGCCTTATGTCCCCACGTCACTGCTGCCGTTCATAGCTCTCATTTTGCTGTCGTCAACATTTGCCCTTGCATTTTATTTCTCCACGTACGCATCCCGAGTTTGTGCTACCAATACAACTGATTACTGAAACTACAATGTTTCCCACAGACTTCCTAAAACTGCCCCGATTCGAGAGTTGGGCGTCGGGTTGCTCGCAAGCGTGCTGGGCGGATTTGGCGTGGTGGCACTCTTTTGTAGTGTTGGAGTGTACGTGTAGTCGTAAGCATAGTCGCTGAAGCGTTCGGATGCGCAGCAGTGGTCAATTGTTCACTCTCCAGCCGTGCTTGCACGACACACACTTGTCGCGGTATCGTCGGCAAGAGTCTACAGGATTGGAAGGCGTGACTTACGGTATATAAAATGGTCGACCCTTCGTCCGCGCTTCGCATCTACACGACGACAGCCGTATCAGCCAAAAGAAAACAATAACAATATGGAAGAAAGAAGGGTCCTCGCCTGTTTTTCTTCGTAATATGCTTCCATGTACCCACACGCGGGACACTTTTCCGAGACCTATTTAACACGTGAAAGTGATTAATTATGAGTACAAGGATGAGATTGCCCTGAGCCACTTGTTTCAGCGTGCGGCCGTCGCCGGGTGGCGCACAAGCGGACTGCATTAGGCACATGCACACACCTTTGGCAACACTTTTCCTTGGTGTATCTTAGTTTGCGTCATCCGCTTCTGGCGAAGAGCAGATGGGAAGGCGTCCGGATGAGAGTGTGTTATGATCTCGATGTTCTCATAAGCTGTGGGCGTGATAGATGGTAGTCATGAAGCTGCTTTGTTTTGGTGGACCCACACTACGTACATGAAGCAGGCTCCAAGTGATGGCATTGTTCACATTCGACGGTGGGGGCGTCGTCCGTTGGGGCAGACAGCAGAGTCCCGCACTGGGGACAGAACAGCAGCGAGCCTGATATCGCGCTATCAGCTTCAGATCGGGATGCTCAGCAGTGGACGTGCCTATTTTGTGTGCGGGCATGGGGGAAGAGAGAGAGAGAGAGGGATGGATCACGTGGCGTCGATCACTTTCCATTTTCGGGATGCTGTTTTTATTCTCCTCGGATGTCCTAGGAGACGCACTGCTTTGTTCTGTCCTCGCATATAAAATTATTCGAGGTAGTCGGGTGGTGGGTCAGATAAACACACCCTCTCTGGCAGAGATGATTCCTTCTTACTACTTCAGCCAGCTCGTGCAGACCCTCCGCCTCGCCAACAGTCGGATCGCCCTCACAGCCCTGCTCCACCGCGCGACTCTCCGCCCAACTCACCACGCCAAGCGCACCGCATCCCACCTCCGCATCGACATCACCAAAGCACGCAGGTGTCCGATCAGCCTCGTCTCCCGTCGGCCTTTGCCACTCCTAGTCTCGTCCCCACCGCTGGTTCCGGTGGCGAATAATATGCAGGGCCTGGACGTGGATGCGATGGCGTCATCGGCACTCAAAGGCTTGCATTATTCCTACCCGGACCTTCTCATGTATTCAGATATACCGATCCCGGGTGCGCCACTTCTCAGGCCATGCCAACTCCCCGAGGTCGACGCGTCAGAGCTTTCCTTTGACTCGCCAAAGCCATCCTCTGGTAAGTCCCTGCATATATGTACCCCATTCCCACCACCATCGTTCTCGATAGCAGCACCGTCTTCGTGCGAACTGTTCACTCCCGTGCGTACACTGTCCTACCTTGCCACTCTGGCTTGTCATTGATGACAACTGACAACTGGCATAGCCCGAGGCATACACCGGACTACGGATTATCATCCCCGCCCGGAATAATAAAAAGCGCAAATGGCAAGATGCCCAGATTGGACTGGACGATGAAGATACCCGTCGGGCAAAGGTGTCTACTACGCCGCTCCATTGTGTTTGAATGTGTTGCTAACTCTCGTTTGATACCCCCATAGCGCATCGTCGTGAATGGGTGGATAACGTCACCCATTCAGACGCACGAGTACATCGACACTGCCCCATGTCTTTCTGGATGATCGTTTCCTTCCCACTCGCCACCCTCATGGACATTCGAATGCTTATTTATACTGCACACCACGCACCCTCCTTTCTCACAATCACACACACATTCTTTCCATCGGACTTGTGCGTATATCCACACTTACATATACCACGCACTCTTGCGCCCAGCACAGTGTCTAATCGATTAGACTTGTTCATCCGTACGACATATTTTCCCCTCTCTTTTGAGGATGAGGAGCTTGCTCTTCTTATACCTACCATACTTGCCTGGTCGTAGTCCATATTACTCACTCAACTGCTAGTGGTAGCATTTTTGAGACATGGAAAAGAACTTTCCCTGTGCACTGTCTCTCAGCTGGTCCATCTTATGATGCGTAGATAGATATCACAACACATGTACCAAACTCAGGCACACCACCATCTTGTTCTCTACCCACCCACACTCCGCCAGCCTTCAGGGTGAGTTGCGTCTGCCTTATTCAAATCCAACCGCGAATCACAGGGTGGATATGTTACCTACGCCCACGTAATCAAGCCTCTCCTTCTCGATGCCTGTGCCTCCGCGGGGGTCGTTGCCACACCTGACACACTCGCGAGGGATTTGAGAAATCGGGTAAACGCTGCAACAGCTGAGTAAACTGTCGCTTTCTTGGAGAGTCCGAGAAGGGAGCTGCAAGTATGGTGGCTCTATTTCTTCTTAGCCCTTCTTACGTCTCTTCTATCCTTGAAGTTGTCGCCTCGTCTGTTGTGTGTCTGTCGGCTGCCTGTTAATAGTCCGATAAGGTTGGCTGGTATTAATCATTACCCCTAATTAATACTTATAAGTCTGACTACCTGTCCCAATTTCAATCGCTGCTGGATCATTATCTTCCTCTCGAATCTCTGCCCTCTGAGATCATCCAATTCTCTCGTCAACTGTCTCAGATTCAACGAGTACACTTTCCCCCTCCATGTCGAGTCCTAATACCGGGATTTTCCCCTCGAAACTCGTCTCCAGAGTGGAAGGGACCAACGTCATCGATTGAAGGGGGTCACAACCTTACACCACCTTATGTAACCTTGAAACCGTTACCTTCGTTCTGCGCTTTCCAACCGAGCCCAATACCATTTCTCAATTGCGTCAGCCACACAAGTACTGCCATAGGCGCCACCCCGAGCTCAACATACCGATTGTGGAGGGAGACAGCCGTGCAAGCAAAGGGCGACGGGTCCCTTTACATAACATCTTGTAGTTACGCGTAACCCTAACAGTGAGCCCAACCCAACCCTTTCTGGAGACAGTGGTTTTGCCGTGTCACCGAAAAAAAGGGTGCACTTACCTGACAGTGTTAGCCGAGGCAGTTTGATATTAGTACTGGTGGGTATCCCTCTGTCCTTTTTCCTCCTACCCTCAACATGATAGGATGGTTGTCGTTCGTGATCCTGGTGACAGGATTGGCTTCTATATGTATGTTGAGGGTAACTGCCCAGCAGACTACAGCTCAGTGTTCGTCACAGTACAATTGGGTATGCACCCTTCGTTCTTTGTCGACCGTCTTTTAGGCGTGTTCACCAACATTCCACTGGCTGCAGATGGAAAATATCAAGAATCAAAGTCCTTGTCTTGTCGCTGCTTACCTACAAAGCGTATGTTCCGGTGGTTGTACGTTTTCATTTTGTATGTTCAGGACATGGCCCAGAACCTCGTTTAGTATATACCGTTCAGTCGCTGAGTCCCTCAACGCAGTACACTGGTCCTTGGTTGGGCCAGGCAAATGACTGCGAGTGCAACACTCCGACGTACTGCCTCCTCAGCGCTTGTTCTATATGTCAAAATGCTACCTACGTCAGGTATGGGTTCGGCGCCCCCGGTGCGCATTGCATTGACTCACTGTGCATTGTAGCTGGAGCTCCTGGTCTTCCAATTGCTCGACGGTCTACACTGGGTGAGGAGCACACAATTCTGCTAGGTTTCTCGATTTCACAGTTTTGTTAGATACCCAGAGAGCATTCCAAATGGGACTGCTATACCAGAATGGGCTTATCAAGATGTTTTAGTACGTTCCTTTCTCCCATCTTATCATCTCTTGTTCTCACGTTATCAATTCGTCAGAGACGACAGATGATTTCGACGTAAACGCTGCTCAGGGGCCTGAGGGTGAGTTGGTTTCGGATTATGCTCTCGGTACACTGATATCTCTCCAGACAACATAGGCACTGCACTCCCTCCCAATTTCACCCCTACAACCATAGTTTCTCATGCGCCAACCTCTACTACATCAGCAAAAGCCCAAAATCCTTCAAAGTCAGGTAATACGGGCGCAATTGTCGGAGGTGCAGTCGGAGGCGTAGTTGGACTTGCAGCCATAACCGCTCTAGTTGTTCGGCTGCTCCTCCGGCGTCGTCGACAGAAAGCCCCTTCAAGCACTATAGGCGATGAAACTGCGCCTGCAGTGACTAACGGCGTGCTCATGGTTAATCCAGACCCCTACACTGCCACTGCCACTCAACCGAAGCTCTATGATCCGTCTGATCCTAGCACGTTCCCTGCCCCAGTGCCCTTATCAACTATCCAAACGAGGCCGAATTCAAATCCCCCTTTTTACTTTAACTTGTATACCTCTGAAGGTGGGCGTCCTGGCGGATATGGTGGGGCCCCTGAACTTTAGTTGATTGTCTGTTTTCGATGCATCGCTGCCCCCCCTTTCCATGTAATTGTAGAAGGTTCTCTCACATTTGACGATTCTTCACGAGATAATCCTTGGCGTCGTTAGGCCCAGGTTTTAAAAAATGTTTATCCTCACAGTTTTGGCAGGGCTTGTGGGCTCATCCCATAGTGCGGGCGGCCGGGCCTAGCTGTGTGTTCATGATCCTTGTATTGATAATGGCAGTGATCTAGTGCTGAGTGGTTGTTCGTCCGTACGACATAATTTCCCCCTCTCTTTGGAGGGGGAGGAGCTTGTTCTTCGAATACCCTACCATACTTGCCTGGCCAAAGTCCATTAACTGCTAGCAGTAGCAGTTTTGAGACATGAAAAAGAACTTGCCCTGTACACCATCTTTTAGTTTATCCATTCATTATTAGACAGATCTGTTAGACATGCAAGAGTCCAAGGAGATATCATCTATCACAACACCAGCCAAACTCAAGCACATCTCCTTGACATGTCACTCTCTAGCAACCGCCTCGACCACCTCACACGTGATAGTCATGACGGTCCGTCCACTATGCTCCAGATCCTCAAGCCCATCCCCATCTTCCATCTTATCTTCCTCACCCATGCCACCATTACCATCACCATCCCGCCGAGCAAGCACCCGTACTCTTTCCAACCACCCACACTCCGCTAATGCAAACGCCGCATCCTCGGTCCTCAAATTCGTAGCGTGGGCGACACCACCAAGCGCACATCGTACCTTGACGTCGAGTATTTCTCCTGAAAAATAATTTGTGAACAACTATGGTAGATTGCACACGATGAGAAAATTAATATTACCTTGGTCGATCTCCCATATTGCATGTGCCCTACTTTTCTGACAGGAAGATGTCTTCTATCGCATTTCCGCTATGAATAACGAACCCCCCCAAAGTTTGAGAATCGTTGAACCACCTCACGCATGCAGCCGTAACAAGACTAAGAAACAGCACTCACGACATGCACTTCCCAAACTGGCCCCTTTGCCATATACTTGAAACTCCAATCGCAGACCCACAGAGCCGATTTCTCGCCTCCCAAATGTGACCGAACGTCCACATCACGGTCAAAACGGACCCACACGTGCTTAGCCATCAACATCAGCAAGTGAGAACAATCTCAGCGCAGTGCAATGTGTGGGAAGATGGAATGATTTGAAAAACGGTGACCCACTCATTCGGAACTGGTGTCCTCACTGCGTGCGAACGATCAAGAGCTGGAACGGGATGAAAACGTTGCATCTAAACGAAATATACCATGCAGATGAACAGCCAGGTGTTAACCGTCCACGTGAAAAAGAGAGAAATGGGACATCTGAGCAACACCGAGCACTTTGGGGCTGAACTAAATCGACGTTAAGCTTTGAGCGACCTCGAAATTCAGCGGAATGGATAGAGAATGTTTTAGAGCTTGGAGGAGAGGCTTCCGACTCTGACCGCCATCATTGTTGATGGCCAACCGATAACTTGGCCGATCGGGACCACCTTCAGTGAGGCAGGTGTTTCTTTTTCCACGTGTTTTCCCAACGCGTTCTAGCAATACTACCCTCTTCAGTATTCCTGTGCTTTTCTTGTCGGCCGACATCGGATTAAGCAAAGCATCGGCCAAGAGAGGTTTACCCATTGCTACAATGACGTGCCCTTCGGCTTCAAGGATTCGCTTATCTGCAGGGGTCGGCGGGGGGCCGCGGACGGAATACCGTGCCCACGCTGATGCATTCACTGTGAAGCACATAGGAGGTAACGGGTACCTCGATAGCGTCGCTGAGGGTATCATGAAAAACGATCGTGGATTTCTTAACGTGATTAGTGTCCGGAAGGGGTGGTCTAAATGGAGGGTTGGTGAGGAAGCAGAAAGGTAGGAGGAATGGAGTGCTTCGAGAAGGCGGCTTCGCCTCAGATCGCCGCTAGGATCAAAGTGGAGATAGTGGTTGCTCTGGAAGGACTCAAGAACAACAGCTGGACGACATCCACGCACGGGTGTTCATCTCAAGGCTCACGTAATGGAAGATCGAGTACGTACACGACTTCTTTATCACTACCATATACTTAAACCAACAGGTGGTCGTGTAACATGCAACAATAGTACTGATTCAATATAACCCCAATCCGTGTCGGCGATCACAATGGTGATTATGATATGCTAGCGGTCCACATCGTTAGAAGACCTGCTCACCTTGTTGATCGCCGGAGTCAACAAACCCGTCCAAACAGGGTAGACTCCGTTCGAGCTGACGAATAATTATTTCTCTATCGCTGCCCGGCTATGGAGCTCATACCGGTTGCCTTGGACTGGACCGCCGGTTCTGGAGGCATACCGCTGACGTCGACATCCATTTCCGGGGGGAACGGCGATTGGGAACGCGCCAATAGCTGTGGAGGGATCTGATCGTGTTCGGAATTTCGGGGTCAGTTTATAACCCGCGCTTTTGTGAACCTTTTGAGGCGATGTGGATGGAGGGGAGAGGCACGGAGAGGGAAGAACAGGTCGTTGGCAAACCGAATTGGTTCGTGCATAGATAATGTAATATATATTTTACTTGCGTGGCGGATGAAAAGGGAGCCGAGGAGGAAGAACATGCGAAGCGGGAAGGGGAGGAGGTCATCATATTGAAGCCGGGGATTTGACTGCATTGACTCCTTGGTTCGTTCTAGAACGGCGTGTTCCAGACCACGAGTGATAAGTCGGTATATGCACTGATACATACAGCGTGGTTCTGCGATCGGAACTCAGTGACGACCTCTAGTAGTTAGTAAGTCACCTGCTATTAGTGCCGGGATCATGGTAAGCCTGGATGGCGTTGGAAATGAAATGGCATGTGCATCTCGAGGGACTCCTGGGCTTTTTTACTGCAACGACGCTCACGTTGTTTGGGTACGGCTGGCGCTTCCGAACAAAATGTATTACACAGCTTGTGATCGGTGCCACTAATTGCTTCACCACGTGAGAAAGGGCCCTGCAGCGAAAGCAGAACCTATGACGCTGCATCTGTAACATTAGTGGCGCTCAAGGTGGCGCTGGAAGCGCTCTGGAAGCACTTTGTCTGTGTTCTGGCACTGGCTCTGGAAACATGTTCTGGCCACTACATTTTCAACTCCAACAAGCGGAACGGTGCAGCATCCCATCGGACTCAAAATAAATTACAGTAGTTTTAGCAGTATATCAAATAATTAAATAGCTAAGTCTTGAAGAACAATGCCCCACGAATCTCTCTGCAAAAATCTCCTCAGACAACTTGATGAAGCTAGCTTGGAAGTAGCAACGGCCAGGCTGGAAAATGTGTGTCACAAAATTGATAGTAGTGATAATAGCGACTCAACCACAACATATGGGGATTCCAATTCATCTCAGAGCATCCTCTTCGTTACTCCGCTGTCTCCAATCTCTCCGATCTCGATGGATTCCAACTCCAGCATTTCTGATGATACAGACTCAACGGTTGAGAGGGATAGGCGGTGTGGACGGCTCCTGAATGTGATTGAGGCTCTGAAGGATGAAGTAGAGCGTGCACGGGTTCTTGAAAAACCTGCTGTACCATTGATGCGGTCATCACAGCTCGGCCTGCTCGACCATTTTGCTGACCATCACCCTCATCTGTTCCTTAGATGCCTTCGTGTATGGCCAGAAGTTTTTGATTGCATCCTTGATCAAATAAGTAGCCACCCAATATTTCATAGTAGCTCTGAAAATCGTCAGTTGCCAGTCGCCATTCAACTCACAACTTTCCTTTTCTGTGCAGGGCATTATGGGAATGCAGCATCGCCAGAGGACGTGGCCCAGTGGGCTGGGGTTAGTGTGGGATCGGTGATCAATTTCACCAATCAGGTCATGGTTGCGATACTGGATGAGCATGACACATTTGTCAATATTCCCCCTCACAACTCAGAGGATATGGAAAGAGCATGTACCTTCACTGAATCATGGACATGTCCAGCATGGAGAAATGGCGTCTTTGCTGCAGATGGCTCATCAATTCCACTCTTTGAAAAGCCCCAAATATTTGGGGAGAGCTTCTATGACAGAAAATCCAGGTATTCGCTCAATTGTCAGGTGTGTATTCCAATGCATGCAAAATGGAATACTTACTGCTCATAGCTTGTTATCATGCTGCACAACCTTCTCATGGTTGACTATGGGCTTGGTCACCCTGGAAGTGTCCATGACGCATGGATGTTTCAAGGTACTCACATCGCATCACGACCAGGAGACCTTATCCTCGAAGATCATTGGACCTGGGCAGATAGTGCATATCCCATGGAGGAATGGTGCACTGTTCCTTTTAAAAAACCCAAGGGTGGGCGGCTATCTCGTGATCAGAATTTATATAACAAATATCTTTCTAAGGTGATACTTACCTCGTACTGGTATGCATGCTAATTGCATTGAAAGGTCCACGTCCATGTTGAGCATGCATTTGCTGCCTTGAAGGGTCAATTTCAGAGTCTCTGCAAGCTGCGCTTGAAAATCCGGAACAAGAGGGATGTTAAGGTTGCAGTTTACTGGGTAATGTGTTGCATCATCTTGCATAACATGGTGATCCGTTTTGAGGAGGAAATGGTTGGCATCGTCGAGCCCTCGAGTCGGTGGGCAATGGAGGAGGGGTCGGGCCAACAGGATGGTGACATGGTCATGGTAGGAGAGGCTGTGGGAACACCGGGTCAGTGATTTCGAATGAGGCTGTTAGATGGGCTGTTCCAATATCTGGGGCATGAACATACCTAGTGTAAACGGACCAAAATGGTTGCCATATAAAGTTGAGGGAGTGTAGCTAGCGATGCTGTAGGAGTCAGCTAAGTCCCACCCATTGACGATGAGGGTGTGTAAGGGGTCTTCACAGGATCCAGGTGCTTTACGACTGACCTTGGAGAAGTCACTTATGATACCACATGCATTCTGCAAATGAAATGTACCCTACATTGCATCTTGATACAGTGTTGGGGTGAGTATGGGGGAGATGGAGAAGTAATACAGTATGGGGCGAGTGTGTACTTAATGATCATACGATGCACTGGGACTGAGAGACAAGTACAACAGAGAAGATGACGAGCTGAGTGGAGATGCGACAATGGATTAAAAAAAGAAACAGACGTGATCGTGAAGGGTGGCTGGCCTAAGCAGTGGGGTCGGAAGTGTTATGCTCGGGCACGGTGACTTCTTCAAATGGAATAGGCACGAAGCACGAGAGTAGGGAAGACTACGAGCCGAACTTGTTGTAACTCCTATGGCCAAGGTTTTGCTGAAGTCTGACAAAGATCTTGTCTAGCTGGCGAAGCCCTAAGGTTGTTCGCGCGGAGAGAAGATAAGGACGAGAGCAATATGATTAGCTTGGTTGCAAGTTATCGAAAAACTGCAGATACAGGACGAAGTATGTAGGATTATATACTCCTAAGTATGAGTACCGTAACAGTCGTGAGCGACGTGTATCCGCAGTAGTCAACAAGGCCATCAATGAAATAGGAACGAGTCACATAGAGTCAGACAGACAAGAAAGGAAAACCGATCAGTGCCATTTGGCCAACCTGTGCCAGGGCAAACGCGACCGGATCTATAGTACAACAAGTAAGCAATATAAACAAGTCACAAAGAGTCACCAGAACAGGAACAGAACATCCCATCCATCAGAGAGGGTGGTGGAATACTGGATCATGAATGGCGAGTCTCGACAGGTATTGGAAATACCTGGACAGCGGGTGATCCGAGGCCTCCACGCAACATACGAACTCCTAGGACGACAACAAGAACGAGGGACGCAACGAGGCACGTGATGCACGTGACCGCCAAGAGTCGAAAAAGGAAGGACCCCCTAAGCGGGCGTAACAGGAAGATGTTGAGCCAGAGCTGGCGCCACTCTTCATGAGCTCTGCAAGTTGAATCTTGAGTCGAAGGGTTTCAGCCTCCCTCATGAAGGCGTTTTCTTCAGCATTCTTCAGCTCGATATTGAGCTTCCGGAGCTCCTGCTCCCTTTGATGCTTATCCTCCATGTCTTTCCACTGCATCCTGAGTTGCTCCTTCCTCAACTCGAGCTCCCGATCCTTCAGCATATACTGCATTTTTGCCAGGTACCGTGCAGTCTTACCAGAAGATGAGGATGCTAGTATTGACTCAGCCTCTTGACTCATGTCGATGACCTGGCTTTGAAGTTGAGACTTGTTGCAAGCAACTGGGAGAGAACTTGCCTCTGTTGATGTTGTCTTGGATGATGAGGACCACGGGGTCCTCATGACAGCCTTCCCCTTGTGGGAAGAGCTAGATGATGATGATGCAGAGGAAATGATGCTTCCAGTGGAAGTGGGGGGATGAAGGTATGGCGATTGGCGGAATGCAGAGCGATTATCCAAGAAAGGTGTGCGAGACTTGTGAGGGAGGGAAAATTGAGACCACACCTCAGGAGTCAACGGCTGAGGATATGACTGCTGATTCATTAACAACGATCCATTAGTGATGTCCCAATAGAAACGCACCTGATCACTGTGAACCGACACCAAGTCCATGTTAACATCCTCTCCATCTCCAAAGCTGGGGTCTGTGCCTTCCAGATCAAAGATACTATCGGCAAATTCATCCCCCTCATTCATGACTAGATCACCAACATGAGACATCCTCTCGTTGACTTCACCATCCTCCAGATCTTGATCACCACACATTTCCTTGGTCCCAGTATTTGAAGGGGTACCTTCATCCACCAGAGCAGCGGGTGACCCCACTCCCAAGTCTGAAGTCTTCTGCATACTGGATGATTTATTTTGGACAATGGCTAAAAAATCTTCAGCGCGATTTTTGTCTGGCTCGGAATTAATCAGGTCAGAGTCGAAGGAGGGGTTGCCCTGCCAGATGGAATGCAGATCATCGTACCAGGGTAAAGTGTTGAGAACAGCTTCTGTAATCATACACATCAGCGACTGTAATCCCACTAGATAGATTGATAACTTATGATGGAGATTTGCATAGCTTGCATGACCAGGCATAATGCCTTCCCCTGATTGTTTAAAGTGTGCACAGCACTTGTGATATGATCCCTTCAGCCTAAATGATTGTTAAAAAATCACAAATAAAATATGAAGAGACTGACGTAGTGATGCGGTTGCCTACGCTAACTTGGAACTTAGCAGGGCCTGCCATGTACATGTCCTTGTAGTAGGGATCATTCTTGAATATGACTTCGGCAATAATTGCTTGAACTTCTTTCTTGTTATGGCCCACTGGCCCCTCATCAGGTGAAGGTGGTGAGACGGTTGTGATCTTATCACTAAAAAGGATTCTCCGGTTTGTGGGATGGGTGAGCAACCAGTTGATGAGTATATCAGTATGAGGAACGTCCCAGTTGATGTTCTTCAGCTGAAGACCTTCTGTAGTAGATGTGTCACCAGTAGTGGTGACAGCCCACTGGCTGGATGAAGCCGGGTTCTTGCCCTTGGTTCTGCCACGAGTAGATCTACTGCTCGATCCATGACCAGAGCCTGAATTCCCAGTGGGTCTGTCAGATCCTCCTCGATGGGCTTGTTCACTTGAAGACACCATGGGCTGACCTGAGATTGCTTGTAGGCAAGCAGAGCGCTGAATGCATGGTTGTAGAGGAGACATAACTTTTCAAACTCCGCAAGGCCAATGCCAGTTGCAGATGCCATTCCAGAACAATTCCAGAGCGCTTCCAGCGCCACCTTGAGCGCCACTATTAAACAAACAAAAATAAAACAGCTGATTGAGCGACTTTTGCAGTTATGTGCAGAAAATTTGCAGGTGGCTGTGCCCATAGCCACTGACTAAGCAGGGCACGTGCACGGGGAAGCGAGCGAGTCAGGGCTACACGCACTCCTCGCCCGTTCCTCGGGACTCGTTTCGATGCTGCTACTAGCCACTGTACATAATCCATGTAATACTGTAATGGGTATTTTGCCAAAAAACGGGCCCAAATTCGCCAGGCCAGTGATGTTGTGGCGCGAAGTGCGGTCACATGAACACACCCTCGTAGGCGCAGGTGGCAATTTGCAGGTGGCGATGCCGTGGGAATTTTCCCGAAGGAGCAATCCCGCCACCAGGCGGAGGGGCTGGGGAGGGGGTCGAGCGTTCGAGCAGGGCCTGTGGGGCATCACGACCTCGTGGATTGGGTGGGATGACCGGGGAGGGTGTCGACGAACTGTGTTCACGTCCTGCCTATGTTTATCTATTTTATCTGCCCTCCTAGCTAGTGCAAAGTGGTGCAAAATGGCTGTACTGCAAAAGTCGCACAATCAGCTGTTTTATTTTTGTTTGTTTAATGTTACAGATGCAGCGTCATAGTATGCAGGGTCCACTGCCAATGGGAGAAGTACGTTGGCTCCTACTCTTCGTAGTGTGGCTATGCGTTTGTTGACATCTCTAAGACAGCCCTTTCACCGGTCGAAGGCACCCTTTAATTTCTTTGACGCCCTTAACTGGAACCCACCACAGTAGGGGTGAGCACACTCAGGACAAATCGCAACAAGACAGAACGTGGACAGGTGTGTGGGATTGGACAACCGAGCGTACGCTCTGATACAGGATGATAGAGAAAGGAAGAGGGAAAAGAAGATATCCCTGCGCATACATGTAGCACCGATATATATACCCCCAGGATCCAAACAGTGCAACACAGCGAGAGGGATCCGCATGCCCAGACAAGGAGATAGGAGACGTGATAGTGCGGTGCGACAGGAGATGTGACAGCGTGAAGCAGTAGCGTGAGCGTGAGTGACGCGTGAGTGGTAAGTGTACGCTTACATTAACTATGCCTGGCCACCTGCGCCTCGCTTTCTTTTTACCCGTCTGATCTGTCCTCGTCGTCGTGGGTGTAATCTACCACGGACAACAAAACATCCAGACCGCCACCAGCAGATTCGCTCACAGCGTCGAGCACATCAGCAGTACGCCCTCGAAACATAGAGAGGCAAAAGCATTGCTGTCTCGACTACATGTATTACCATGATGATGCAGTGCGTGGTTGTGACCTTGGGACTATCGATGACTGGGAACTGGAATGTGTCGTGTCATCAGCAGAGTAACTGACATTGCTTTACCGGGTTCTGCTTGCTCACTGCTCTATCTCAGTGATCATCATGCTTTCCCCATCCTCGAGGTCCGCAAAGTGACTTCACCTTCAGTGCGGTACTTGCGGGCGCCCGAGTTGCTAAGTCGTCCAACTGTGTCCCCCTCGTTTCCAGTGCCCGGTTCGAGTCTAGTTGGCTACCTAGAAGGAGATCAAGATGTAAGCAATTGTTCATCAATCTTACCCGGGTTCTCTCATCACATAATACCTGGCGTCGCAGGCTCAGCCTGCGGGCTACATAGTCGACGGAAATGGAAAGTCATCGATCGTAAGTTACACACGTGACGAGTATCTGGTGTGACCTCATTCAGATCCGAAAGGTCCCACCCTCCGTCAGTCGGGTCCATCACTATTGGTGTCCGCAGGATCACGCCTCCGAATATGTCACACTTACTTCATCGTACACAAGTCTTCCACCACTCGATGCCGTAGGACAATTTCCGGGGTACCCACAAGAAACCGGAGACGTTTCAACATCTGGGGATCTAGACTATGACTTTGCTAGACCAATGGGTCTTGGCTCCATAGCCCCCTTTCACGATCACACAGCGGGCGAGGTAATCAACTCGAACGCACTGTGGTTGGGGCATTCAAGCCCGCTGCTGCCCTTACTTCAGGAATTGCGTCCTTCGAATGACTTCACCAGCGAGAATGTTCCGTCAACTCCAGAACAGATCCGAACAGAGATGCAAGACCCAGTTCGGTTTCTTTCCAGTTTTGCAGAGAAACCGATAACACAGTGAGTCCTTTCTGTGATACGTCTTGTCCAACTACCTCACTTCGTGCCTAAGAACACACCTCGCGAAACCCTTTCCTTATGGATACCCAACCCCAACCCAATCTAACTCAACCTCTTACCCCACCGTCGACGATTACATCTCGTCCCATCTTGACCCAATCTCATCCTTTCAGTCCCTGCATGGGTACCTTGGAACCCCCCCTCCCCGTTCACCCTCACTATACGATGTCTGCACATCTACCAGGATTTCATGGATTCCGAGTTGGGACCAACATGGAATCGCGCACAACCAGCACCCTCGACGATCACACTGCACGCATGATCTTTGATGCGGTAGACGACTATGGAAAGATTGATACAAGCAAGTACAGTTCTGAGTAGGTTGTGGGCCCGTGTTCACTATCACTGGGGCCTCCAAACTAACTCCCATCGCCACCCCGCGAACTTGATTCGCATGACCAGTTTTCCCACGTTGAGGACAGAAGTCTTTCAGGGCCATTCCACGATGCAGGTCGTTCTGCCACCTCTCAGTCTCGAACCCTGACGACACTACCAAAAACACGCTCTATCTGCGATCGCAATGTATGCAGTCCCTGTGGCTGGCGGAATGACGATGGCAAAGAATGCGGTATACCTATTACGTACGGCGATTGCAAAAACCATCTTGCCGCCGTCCATAATATCAAGAACATAGCATGGTATGTTGAAATCATCTGTCGGTGGTGTTCTTCCAAGGCACAAAAGAAGGTGAAAAGGAAGAACATGCTTAGGCACCTGAGAGAGGTACATTTGTGTCACACGCGCCCAAAGAAAGATCCACGCGCTTTACGCAAACACTAATAACGGCTCTCCTCTGCGCTGATGTAGGGTATTGTTTCCTTGCCCTAACCAGGTGTACTTTTGTGACTGGTAACTTCATGACCAACTGATTTTGCCGGTTGGCAAGCCACCACGTAGCTTCCACTGCTCTCATGTCTACTGTTTTCCTATTTGTATCACTCCCCCCTCTGCTCGTCGCTTGTCTTAAACTGATGTCGTATAGTGGCTGCTCATGTACTTGTCTGTGTCTTAATTCCCGTCGTGCGTTAAGCATCTCTTACGTGACTCAAATGGTCCGACTTGGGAAGGCTTGTGGACCTCACACCACCCATTGCTACATACCGTGAGACGCTGCAAGAGCACAAGAAGGGGATATACCCAATCGCGTTTGAGGCCCCCCGCCCCCTCCGCTCTTCCCTTGGTTACGACAGCTCTGCCTGATAATCTATACCGCCGCGCAGCGGAGAGCCTGAGTTAGACCAGCGTCAGAAAACCTTGTAAAGGCCCCGCTTCAACATATCGTCTATCACAGCACATGTGCTAAACTCAAGCACATCTCCTTCACATGTCGTTCTCTCGCGACTGCCTCAACCATCTCACGCGTGATGGCCATGACAACCCGTTCACTCTGCTCCTGATCCTCATCTTCCATCTTATCATCCTCACCCACACCAGCATCACCATCACCATCCCGTCGAGCAACTACTCGCACTCTCTCTAACAACCCACACTCCGCTAATGCAAACGCCGCATCATCGACCCTCAAATTCGTAGCACAGGCGATATCAGCAAGCGTACATCGCACCACGACGTGCGACGTGGCACTGCCATCGGGGTTGGGTGTGGTGATAATCTTGCGGAAGGCGTTGTGCATTCCAGGTACTGGTGCGGGTGCAGGTGTAGATGCAGGCTTGGTCGCGGAGGTAGAAGTGGGCGGCGTGAGGCTGTGGGAGGCGTATTGGTAAAAAGAAGGGGAAGTAGGAGGGTGGGGCAGTTCCCCGTCGAAACCCTTTGGGGCGCGTTTCCGTTTGTGATGGGTCGACATACTTGTTGACGAAGGGATATCCTCGGCGGGAGAAGGAGCCAGTTGGGTATGATGGAAGGCTAGCTCGGACGGGGGCTGGGAACGTTGTGAGTGGGATAGGGGAGCCGAGTGTGTCTGAGGGATTTCTGTAGGCATTACGCCTTGAGAAAATATCGGTGCCGATCCGTCTGTTGTCACTTGGGCACAGTCGTTTGGGAGAACGGAAAGAAGACGTCTACAGTGCAGATCCATATCGAGGACCATATCGAGTTCGCGACGACACAGAATGAAGATGAACGATAGGTATGCAGTGGGAAAGTACGTGGGGATGGAACGATGGAGATGACCCACCTCAAAAACCTTATGATCGTAGCAACCCAATATGTCAGGTAACTTCTCAGTCCGAGATCAGACAACGGTCGTTCCGGGGTACCGATCTTCCCTGCGCGTCGAGAGAGTTCGTAACCTAAATGACATGTGTACACCAGTTTGTAGGTGAGACGAAGATATGAGAGGATGAAGGAGGGATACGTGCTGAACTCGATCATGAGCATTCCATACCCTTTCCGTTGGTAAGGCGGCAGGACGACTATACATGCTAAATTGTAGTCATCGTACGAGTATTTCTCCTGGAAATAACTGTGAACTATAGGTTGCATGAGCTGGACACGATATGGATCACCTTGGAGAAAAATCCGAGTACGTGGTCGCGTTGCGAGTCTGCGTCGGTCAGGATGTAAAACAGAACTATACGCGAGACGAAGATAACAAATTGACCAAGCGGAAGGAGAGTAAGATAAGACCGAGAACTGACAGTTATCACAGTCGAAAAAGAGTGTCTTGACATCGATGAAGAATTTACCGAACAGGGAGAGATTTTGGCAGTACAGCTAGTACATGTGCATAGATATCGTCATGCGGTTTTTGGTTTCGATCGTCCGAGGTTGAGACCACATACCTTTTCAATTGCCCCGTCGATCTCCCATATCGTATGTGCCCCACGCTGATACACCTTTCTACCAGGAGGATGTCTCCTATCGCATTTCCGCTGTCAATAACGAAACGGCCCAAAGTTTGAGCATCGTCGAACCACCGGGCGCGTGCAGCCATAACAAGACTAAGTAACAGTGCTCACAACATGCATTTCCCAAACAGGCCCCTCCGCCATATACTTGAAACACCGGTCACAGACCCACAATACCGATTTCTCGCCTGTCAAATGTGACCGAGTTAGTCCGCCTGCGAGAAGATCGGAGGTGCGGCCGTGAGAGCGGAGAGTGGTGCGTTGAACGCCTGAGATTTTCGGTGGGCGGCCAACTGGTTTGTGGGGTCTTGCCGAAGGGACATTATTACCGCTGGATGTTGTTGGAGATGCGCGAGATGATGGTGGTGTGTTGTGGTCACTGCGGTGGGCGGTTGCAGGGTCTTCGAGTTCGGATTCTGTTAGTGGGTAGGGCGAAAAGTACCTGTTCGACGCCAGTCAGCCAAGGGGACGGTATAAACGGCATAATGTCATACCATGTTTTGATCTGCCACTGTCCAAAGTTGACCTTGTCGAAGTTACGGCGGGCTGTGATCTGCCTGTGTTGGACCTCGAGTTCGTCTTCTTCTGACATTATTATCTGTGGGGTTTTTCCACCGCCGCGACCGTGGTCGAGGCTGCCAATGTCGTCGTCGTCGAGACGTGGGCATGCACGTGGATGGGTGATTTCTTCGACGTCCGAGTCTTCGCTCTCTCGTTTCCGGTCGACCTCTGTTATGTTCATCGTCGTAATCGAGTTTATCAAGTTGTGTGTGGAGACGCAACCGAACCTTATCTGCGCTACAGTAGTGTCAATATTTCCATTTCCCATGCGACGACCACCATGAACAACAGCAGGTCCGTCGAACGTTGGGTGCGCAAAACTTGTGGCTCTCGTTGGGTCACTACCAGCACATCCAACACAGTTCGACCACCGCGAATTATGTATTTGTGTACGCCCTTGTCTTCTTCTCGACATCGTACACGGTCTACTGGGTCTATCGGAAGTGGTTCTCGAAGGACGCTACCCGTAACAACATCAGAACTGACGTTGCCATACGGCAAGGTAGCAGGACGGAGCGAAGAACAGGAATCGTGCACACGGCGGTGCGTAGTATGTACATACTCTTTGCACATCCGTTGCTAACTGGCCCCGACGACGAACGACAACAGTAGATACAGGATACAGTACACTTGCTCATAACTTGCGCAGCCAAATCTATGCGACGAAATGTGACATGTGACACTATTTCCTAATGAAGTGCTGTTCCAGCTTACATCAAGTCCAGCAGTATACATGGGTATAGCATTACAATGGTGAACCCAAGCAAGGCCAATGGAAAATCAAGGAATATCAAGGTATAAGGCCAATAGTGATGGACGTGCACGCATGCTCTTCGTCATCAAACTCCACGCCCGATGGCAAGTTCGTGCCATGCCTCCGCAATGGTTTCAGTGTTTCCACCCTGGAATGTAGACTCTCCAATCTCTTGCTCTTCCTTTGGGTCGAGAACTTCTTCCATTGTTGATGGCGATCCAATTCTGTGGCAGGTCACCCCAATAATTATCACATACTCATCGTCGCTGACAAGGTATCTCGTACTGTATAAAACAGCGAGGATTGCTTAAACCCTCTACATGATGAGCAAGTATATTGGATTTACTTAACTACATAATAGAGCGAATCCCCGATATGATCAGATTGACAGGTCACATGGCACCTAAGGGAAGAAGACCGCATTGGCAACAGAATTCGGCGCTAACGGTGTTTGAACGAGTGGTGGCACATATGTAGCCAAGGCGGTTCTGCTGCATACGCGAATGCCGGGCCATCACATGATTATCAGGTGGCCGCAGATTAACCGAAGTTAGGGGAGGAAAATGTAGGTCATGGGGCATAAGTACTATGTGCTGTAAATTCTAGGACGACTTTGACAGCACACTATGCCATCTTTGCAGATACTTCTCAGAGAAAGTCAGATCGTGATGATCAGCGCAGACCGTAGAGGCATTTCATACTACGAAAATTACCACGCCATACTTCGGTTCGTCTTGCAGTGCAAGACCCTTGGAGTTGCTATGTAAGGCAATTCTCAAACACAGAAATTTCAAGGAGATATACCCATTCAGTGAGGCAACAATCAGACTCGTTGAACCGCAACAGCGGTATACTGTGGGTGCCGGTTCAGCCACTGATACTTATGTATTCTGATTCTTCCGGATCCTGGTGACGTGTTATCATTTCAAACTTAATCGGCTCCCATTCCGTGCACAGAGTACGTTTAATAGCGGGACCTCAGACACTTCGCGGGTAGAGTGCTCGGATAATATTCGGATTGTCCTGTTCCCCGCACAGACTATACTGTATGGTTTGCTCATCCATCCTATGATTCCCATGTCAACATCCTCGACACTGGTGACCGCGTGCACGACGAGCCACAATTACCATCTCAACGGCCACACCCACCACAAACGACGACAACGACAATGGTCGCCGCCGCATTAACCTCGACAGCCAACACCTGACATCACTACTACCTCGACCTCGGCCACACAGTCACCCATGGCCACTACCGCCACCTAAAGCGACGACGACGATGGTGGCGGCAACACTGGACAATGAGTGCCCCCCGGTGACAAGGTTGGCCATTACGACCATGAGACAACACGCGACGACGAACCTGGACCACCACACCTCAATTACTGTCCCCCCGTTCCCCAACGACTATGAGCGCCACCATAAACACGAACACTGCCACCCCCTCTACCCCGACCACTGATAACGACAGCGGCAATTATGTACATAGCACCGTCTGGTCGCCAGATTAAACAGGGTGGTCAATAATATCTAAGTATTGTATCCGTGCAGTAACTGAGGTCCTGCTACGGTAACGTACTCCGTGCACAGAGTTGGAAGTACATCAGGAAACTAACACTTTACTATTTTTGACCTTTTTGTGACTCTTTTTGACTTTTTTGTGACTATTGTGACTATTTGTGACTTTTTGGGAAGGAACCTACTATCTGTACTTTTTTTTTGACCATATACAGCATTTTGAAGAATGAAAAGAGAACAGAATCTATTGAGACAACTAAGTGATGATATATCTAAGCCAAGAAGACTAGAAAATGTCTGAAAATTCAGAGATATTGAGCCATTGGTGTGATGCACACTGTCTGAGAGAAAAATCACAATATCTCTTTGGAACCTCCATCAGTTTGAATGTATGTGGTATCTACTGAAAGCTATGAATTAGGTGGTTTGAACAAGACCAAAATCAGCAAGAAAAGTGCAGCCATGCCTGCAGGACATGGGTAATGATAGTAGATTCCTTCCCAAAAAGTCACATCAGTCACAGAAAGTCAAAAATAGTAAAGTGTTATCTTCCTGATGTATTAAGGGAACCAGTCGCTAATACCGACTCATTTCGCAGTTGGGCTGTAAAGAAATGCCTCATTGCGTTTCAGTCCTCGGCTCCACCATTACGATATGGTGTTATGCCTCCCTTTCCTGTCTTCATTTTCTCATGTCAGTGGCGGGTCTACGGGGGCAGTATTAATTCCGATACTTCCAATTGCCCCCTAAGGACCAACGGGCACCTTGCAATCACTCAAGTATGCAGCGGCATGACAGATTGCTCGTACCAAGTCCCTGGTCCTGCCAACCGGACCCGGCGTTTGCATATATCCAAGGGCTGTGTTGGTCGACTGATGGGACTTTCAGAAAGGCATAAATACTCTGTTTCATCTTCATCCATCCCCAGCACCAAGTACCTCAGTGACACAGAAACACCACCTCAGACACGAACTAGATCCAACCATGACAGACTTACCTACGTATTGGTACTCTGTGGTCGGCCGCAAGGACACCGGGGCTGTCTTTGACCGCATTCCCATCGAGGTCATGCAGAGGAACTACCCACGTCAATTCACGCTCTTCGTCCTCAGCTATGCTGCCATCCAGGGCGACCATAACCCACCTGCATCCACTTACATGGAAATTGCCGGCATTCACGGTAAGCCCTACCGAGAGTGGGCTGGTGACCACAAGAAGGAGGAGCAAAAGGCTTCGGATTTTGACTATGAAGATCGCAAGGACACTTTACCAGTTCCTTCAAGGTTTGGTGGTAGGTCTTGCCGTCTGCGAGATTTTTACGCCCACTGACTATGCCCGCCTTCAGGTTATTGCAAGTGTGTATCATGCACATAAATATATTCCTGTGGTTGACTTATTCGTTGCTAGCCATGGATCGGTGACGTTCCCCACCTGGCATCGCCCATATGTGATGCTAGTTGAGGTAGGTCGATTTTGTGTGCGTCACTCCTATATAAGCTGATACATCGATACAGCAAGCTATCGGTGATGTCGCTAGTCGTCTCGCGGCAGATATTGAAAGGGCAAACCCCCAAGAAGTCGGTTTATGGGTCCCAGAGGCTCAGAGACTGCGCTTCCCGTGCGTCTTACCGGGTGGCTGGCTCCTTCATGAATGAATCGTTTCTTCTGACAGGTACTGGGACTGGGCTGCGCTAAAAGTTCGTGATGAAGGACTTCCCCCCGTTCTCATCGATGACGAAGTAGAAATCTTGGTTGCGGGTGGTCAAACCGAAGTCATTCGCAATCCGTTATCGTACTACACATACCAAGGTGGCGTCCCCCCTGACTTCCAAGACGAGCTTTCTCCGAGGGTGGGTTTACGACGGCAGCACAACTTCTCTCTTCTTCATAGATTTTCGATGACGATTTTTTTTTTCTAGACGGGCATGGCGTATTTTTCTTCGTGGACCCGATCCTTCCGGCATTCCCCAGAAAACCCTGTGGGAAGTACTAATAAGGAAGCGTTGCAACAGTGTGTAGATTTCCTGCGTCGTGCTGGAGGACGCCAACTAATCAGGCCTTTTCAGAGCTGTTAGGGGAACTGCGGATTTTGTACGCTCGCAGTTAGGGCTTTTGTTCAACATGGGGGACGATGAAGACCCGGCACACGCGTACGTATATTTCCTCTGTAGCATTGATCCCAGATTCTCATGCACTACCGGTATAGTTTCGACAGGTTTTCGAACTCGGTAATTCAGTCTAACGATGTTTTTGACGATGAGGAGCCAATTACCCCTCTGGAAGTCATCCACGGCCGCATCCATGGTGCTGTTGTATGTCTATTTCCCGGTACATGTCTCAGTGTCACTGACCGACGCTATAGGGTGGGAATGGGCACATGGTCTGCGTTTTTGCTCTCCTACTTCCGGTGGCTCACTCATAATGACCTTCTTAGTCTTCCCCAGATTATGTAAGTCTCAAGGTTTGAATGCTTCAGTTACTGAGCTTGTTATGTATAGGCTGCTTTCGATCCTTTCTTCTTCTGTACGTCTTTCGCTTGCCGGAGTTAATCATCTGTCTGATCGATGGCCAGTACACCACAGCAATGTCGACAGGATCTGTGAGTACCGAATGTCTGAACGTATATATGCCGCCTATTGATACCATTCGTGTCAGTCGCGCTGTGGGAGTGGTGCTACCCACAATACTGGATGGGCGACGGCTACAGGGACCCGAACCCAGATGTTGATAGATCCTTTGTGTGGACTCAGGTGAGTACAGTGCCATGGAGTGTAATGGCATTCTCATCTTTTTTAGGAACGCGGGACTTACATGCAAGTATACAACGAGCAAATTCTTCCTACTGGTGCTCGCGGTGCACTGTACCCGTTCAGACTGGAAAACGGCGAGTACTGGAATTCTGAACAGGCCCGTTTCCTCGGCACAAGTGCCTATCCGAAGTGTGCGCTTTCCTACTCCCCATCTCATTCCGTGGGATCCCCTAAATTTGATCAATGTAGACTATTCTTATGATGAATTCCTGGGCATTAAAGTTGACCGGGAGGCCTCCGCGGAGGAACGCCGTGCTGCTCGGAGAAGAATATACGACTTCTACGGCTTTAATCCCAGCACAGCAGCAGCGAAGACTAATCGGGCATCGTGGAGCCACATTCCGGTCCGGTCCTCGAAGGAAGCCGGACTTCCCGAGCTCTTCAAGGAGATAAACAATTTCCGTATTTTTGTCGTCGCCGTTCAGCTTCCAGAGCACGCCTTCAACAGGACATACAGCTTCGAACTGCAATACAACCAAGGCACTGAATCTAGGTGCATCGGCGCGGTCACCGTGTTCGCCCGGCCTGACCATTCGCCTTGCAAGGCCTGTGCTAAGCGCCGCTCTTTTGGTTCCATCACCCATGGGGCTATCCCACTTCCTTTTTCGCTCGTAAACGATCTCATCGTCAAGAGTCGCGCTGAGAGGACTACTGCGACCTTTGAAACCACTGCAACGGACATAATCAAGACTCTTTCGGCCGCGTTGGTGGATGCGTCGGGCAAGGTTCTCGCAAGTGCACGGGGTGGCGACGAAGCTCCCACAGTGCCACGTGAGCGGGTGGCATCATCCACCGTCATCCCTGCAAAGGTGGCTCTGTATACGTCGGGCGTTGCGGAGAAGATAGGTGACGCTAACCACCCTGTCCATCTGTTCGATTGGAAACGTCACAACGACTTATTCCCTGTGGGTTTACTGCTCTGACTTGCGACGATGGCTAACTTACGTTAATTCCCATCATAGAGCGGATGGAGGGCCGAAGACGATGAAGCCATCTAAATCTCGCAATTCCAGAACTTCAATATGCCTCTTCCTTGAATCTTGGTGTACGAAAATGTAGGATGCAGCGATAACTTCAGAAAACCCTTCGCAATTTGATCTCTGTAACTTTTGTGTACTTTGATACGTGACCCAGTTTGGATGCAATGAATGTGACTCTTGTGTGCTTACCCCTGTGCCGCAGCAATGCACTTGAACGCACTCGTCGCTTCAACTCATTCGCGCTGAGTCACTCGGTGCATCAACTCATCGACTAGGGCGGTGGTAGGTTGCCTCGGGAGTGGAAGTGTTCAAGATGCAGGTTGCATGCATTGTACTGAGCAATCAAACACAGTGGACGCCTTCGGGAGCGTCCCAAGGTTCAGATGTTTCAACGAAAGTGCTCCACGACATGCCAATCTTCCGTGACCATTGTCATCAGGACATCCGACTATGCCGCCATGGATTTTTTTCAGTTAGAATTACAAGCAATATTTTGGGTATCGTCTGGACTTCTTCAAAACTCTCTGAGACAAGTCTAACAAACGCGCTATCCGTTATGTCTCAGGAAGTCCATTCTCAGGAATTCATGTTATGGCGTCCGAATCACGAGAAAGGTATAACATTGTACCGTAACGAGGTCCGTACGACGCAGGGGTGGATACCGACGAACATTCAAAGTTATTATAAACCGATCCCCTCCTGCCCTTTTTGGAGCATAATCAGTGAGTGAATACCATCCTTCTCGGCATTCCGCTCATACACTTGCACTCATCCCGCATCGCGAAATTTGCAGTGTCACGATGGGCATACGTACAATGCCATGGTCCGAGTGGATAGAACTCGATTCCGAATTTGCGGAGTACCAAAGGACACAGGATAGCCGTTTACAACGTGTGGAGGTGGTATGTTGCGGGCTCTTCCATCGCGGTCCTCTCCGCCCTCACATATGGAAGAGGACGACGGGGAGGGTCGCAGCCCAGTGTGTAAGTGTTGCGAGCGATATCGAGCTCGAGGCAGATTCCATATTTTGGTGTTAGTCTGGTATGCGACATGAGGGAGCTTGTGTACGGGCTTGCAGAGTGCCTCTCCAGAGGGTATCCTCTGTCCTTCAAGATCTCGCGTGTCGCATCAGGCGTCCCTCCGGCCTGACGTAACTTGGCGCCAGTCAAAACGATTCATTGTAGCTAAACCTTGTAGAACTCAAGACGATTTCGCTGTTATGATTGAATGTAAACCCTCTGTATGATATCTGGGGTTGGATTGGTATAACCAAAGACTGTTATCTTGGGTCGGACGGCAAGTATTACTTCCAGACCGAGTTGCCCTCTGCCGGGTACGTCCACTGCCTTACTGCTACGACGATGGCACTAGTGCCGTCCGTGTCGACCGGTAGCCCTCCCCGGCGACCCGGGATTCCGGCGTATCGTCGATCCATACGAGCTTAGCTAGTCCTTCACCCATAACGATCCGGTAGAAACGTCTGCCAACTGTCGGGGACACGACAGTGCAGCAATCCTGCACCTCTCTGCGAAGACGCTGCGTCTCTATACTGAACGTCAAACCCTGTGCTGACTGTCTCGAACGGGTGCGAACGTGTTTGGAATTCGGGTATACCAAGTGAGGGTGGAGGAACTGATCAATGAGTCACTGCGAGATTGACGAGTGCAGTGAGGACTTGGGCCTGGGATGTTTCAGGGTATAGTCGTTCCGATATATCGATCTTCCTTGCGCCTCGAGTTCATAGCCTATACGACGTGTGGATACCGGATTGTAAGTGAGACGAAGGTACAAAGGGATAGAAGGACACGTGTTGAACTCGATCATGACTCCATACCCTTTCCGTTGGTAAGGTGAGAGGACAATTATACATGCCAAACAGTGGTCATCGTACGAGTATTTCTTCTGGAAATGATTGTCAATTATAGGTTACATGAGCTGGACACGATAGATCCCGACGGCGAATGACAACAATAGATATTTACTTAACTAGAGCGAATCCCCGATACCGATACCATCAGATTAGCCGGTCACCAGCAACTCAAAGAAGAAGACTGGATTGGCAACTGAGTTCAGCATTGATGGTGCTTTGAACCAACGGTAGCACATATGTAGCCAAGGTAGTTCTTCTGCATACGCGAGTGCCGGGCCGATCACCATAATTATTAGGGGTGGCCATGGATTAACCGAAGTTAGGGGAGGAAAATGGAGGTCATGGGATGCAAGTAACACGTACTGGAAATTCTGGGACGGCTTTGACAGTACACTATGCCATCTTTGCAGATACTTCTCAGAGAAAGTCAGGTAGTGATGTCATTAGCACAAACCATAGAGGAATTTCGTGTTACGAAAATGGCCACGCCATACTGCGATTCGTCGTTTCAGTTCAAGACGCTTGGAGTATACTCATTCACGAGGCGACGATCGAACTCGTTGAATCGTGGGTGCCGATTCAGCCACTGATACTTCTGTGCGATCGAATCCCTTATAACCCATACCCATTCGGGATAGGCCATAGGGTGTGGGGAGTATGGGAATTTGGGAAATGGAAAAACGTACTATCCCTTAGTGCAGTCGGTAGCACCAAGCAGTCGGCAGTCACCAAAAAGTCACGATGTCACACAAGGTCACTAGTGCCGAATCTTACTCTGCTCGGCATACAATCACCTTGTTTACAAGGTCACTCCAGCCCGAAATCAGTAACGTTTTTTTTGGTCTGCCGTGATTATCATATTTTGGGCCTCAGCACGGTACTCTGCAGCTCCGCCAATCCGAAGTATCGCCATGGGCAACCTTGCGACACGCACGCCCCCTCATCTTGCGGCGTGAATGATGCCTGAGCCTCTTTCCGACTTCGATCTTTGAGGCAATGTGTCGAAGGTGAGCAAAGCCACACCCTGTTCGGGGCTCTCACATTTCCACGTCTTATTGCAGATCGCATTGTCAGCCCCCCCTCTACAAGTCAGTATGTATTTGTTCTTCTCCGCAGCCCACCTCGTCGCGAAATTCCTCCCACCATGAACAGTATTTCCCGTGTAAGCCTGCCATTTCATGTCTGGGCATTCGTCATTGGATTGTGCTCTGGCCCTCTCGCCGTTAGTGTTCGCGCGTGCACCCAGTGACTCGACACATGTCCGTGTAGAGGATGACATCTACATCGTCTACTTTGATTGGCTGCGCCATGTGGAGTACCGTGACAATGCCATGTACATATACGTCTGTGTGGCAGATAACGGCCGTCCCCTCAGTATTTGTCCTGAGGATGAAATTGCAAATTTGTTGGAGGTGTTGGACATGTAAGCGTCCCTCTTCAGGTTTGGACGCATAGGCTCGTGTTCGATGTAGTGTGGATCGGCGATATCCGGCTGTCGTGGCATCGGAGACTCTGTAGTTGTGGGTAAGGCGCAAAGACGGTATGGCGACTTTGGCCATGGTTGACGCCGTCGATGGCGTCGAGACGCTTGGGGGGCCAAGGATAACTGGGAGTATGGAATTTTACTGGTGTATTATGTTCACCCTTGCCTTTTGAATCAACTATGTTGCGCGTGGAGATTGGCTATCGAACCATGCACCTTAAGGCTCTCTGTGCAGTATGTATTCCTCTGATGGCAGTATGACAAACCTGGTGTGTGCATTGGGCCTCCACTGGCACAACATTTGGCCTGCCATGACTGCCATGCATATGACTGCTGTCGCAATGCAAGCCCCCTGTTGATGGGCAATATAATGGTTATTGGTGGCATACTTTTCATGCCATTCTGACCCCTAAAGTGAGCATGTGTTCAGCCCCTCTATGCTCCTATGCCAATCTCCTATTAGGTTGGGATACAAAAGCATGCATTGCATGTGAGGGGTGAGCATATTCAATGTCCACCACCATCAACTTCATGGCCCCCCAGTGAGGCACAACACCTTCATATCTGGATATTGTCAACAAGATTTTTGGGCACTGTGATCTTCTTGGCATGTTCAACCTTGTGTCCACTTGTCGAGCTCATGTGGAGGTGGCACAGCAACATCTCAAGACTTGCATCCAAAACATGGGGAGGGGTTTTTTCACCAACCTGATTGTCCTGTGTGACATCTTGTGCACCTGTGATGGTGTTGTTTTGGGATCTATGGCCTTGCATCTTTTATTGCCAGCCAGCCATACATATTCCACCTTGTGGCTTCCTACTGACCTAGACATCTATGTTCCCTTTCAGTCAGAGAACCTCATAGCCTGTCTTTTGGTTGGTCAGGGATATTGTCTGCATGAGCCTACTTCTGTTGATGTGGCCATGTATGCAGGGACCTCCATCCATTCAGCACATGCTTTCTTGAAGGGTCACTACAAGATTGATGTCATCGTCTCAGTGAATGCTGCCTCCATCATACCTGTTTTCCAGTTTCACACCACCACTGTCATGAACTTTGTCTCCACAGATTGCATATTCTGTGCTTATCCTGCTCTTACAATGTGGGCATGCTCTCCTGTCAATCCCATGCTCCTCTATATTGGTGGAATGCACCACAAGGCCATTGCCCCACTGTGGAAATACATGTTGTGTGGTTTCACATTTGAACTGTGTGTCAAGTCTCATAGGTTCAGGTATGTGTGTTGTGACAAGACTTGTGCTGTGACAGATGGAGGCTGTATGTGGGTTGATCCAGAGATGTTTCCATGTGTCACTGTGACACAGCCAGAAATTTTTTGGCCATCTGGGCATCCTGGACCTACACTGGATGTTGGGGGGCATGGTCTGTGGGATGGATGCCACATTCCAATGACCATGCATGCTTGTGATCGACAATGAGTCATAAGTCTGCTCACAAATCTTCAACCTTGTCTCATTGTCTTTGCCCCAGTGGTTTGCTTATTGAAAGAAGGAGTACCCTTGTAGAGGTTGAAGAGGAGTCAGACTGAGAATTTTTCTTGCTCAAGAGACACAAAAAATGATGGAATTGTATGTAGGGCAACTGCAATGTAGTGGATGTACTCAGGCTTTTACATGCATTGTTGCCCATCACTATATGGACATATGTCACATTGACAGATATTATATTAAATGATCTGCATCAAGTGCACCTCAATTCAATTTTACACACTGTATGACATCATGCCTTTCTGTTTACTGCAATATTTGGCATTACACATCATCTTCCTTTATGCTACTTACATCTGTAGGTGGTAATCTTTAGGGGGTGATGGCATGGATTGCAGTGATTGACACACCCTGCATGCATTTTTCGACAGCCTGTTGCCCAAACTACCAACACCACTCTCACCAATCCCATGCCCTCACTTCAGTGGATTCACAGGAGCAGCATCTGACTCTTGCTGGACAACCATGTTGTGAACGACAGCCATGAAGACATACTTCTTGTCCCTGCTGATTGAGTAGTACATCAGTGCAAAGCACACTCGAATGATGGTGCCAGAGAGCTTGTGAGTGTAATCTGATGGGTCAATACTCTCACCATTGAGATCAAAGACTGGAAGAGGAGAGATATTGTGTGTCTTGGCTGCATGTGCCAGTGCCCCTTTCAGGTGCTCCTGCACTGGCCAGTCCATCATCCTCATCTCTGTTGACAGCATCAGCATCAGCCCTACCCACCAGTCACCTCAACCCACCATTGTCAATGGCTGTTTCAGGGTCAGTGTCCATGTTTTTGGTCTGGAATTTGGTCTCAGTGTTGTTGTCTCCTGTGAGACTAACAGGCATATCACAAAAAGTGTGTGATTCAGGCAAATGCAAACCTGGCTGCAGGCTTCCTGCACACACAAGAACACAGTCACACCCTTTTGTGACACAATGAGCTTCTCTAAGGCTTGCAAGTTAGTCATGACTGCTGGGAAGTCATGTCAGCTTGCACCATATACAGAATTGCACTGAATGGTGATTAGATTGCATGACAGCTTTGTGTCAACAAACTCCTTGTTGAATGCATTTGATGGAAAAAAGCCACCCTCAGGTCCCATAAAAAAGCCCTGATGGTTGATTTCAAAGATACTGCTGAGTATCATCTCAACAATGTCATCCCCACTCCCTTTAATGACTGCTACATTGCCAGATGGGCCCCCTACAAAATCAAGCTTGCCATCAGGATGGAGGTGATGGTCACCTTTAACATCTTGACCAACCTAGACATGGTGAATGGTGCATGAGGCCATATTGTGGACATTGTCCTCAACCCCAGAGAATGTGTGCAACCTTCTCCATCACATCAGATTGTGTTGCAGTATCTGCCTGCTTTTGTCCTGTTAGAAATGAGGCACACCAAGGTGGGGTCCCTCCCAGGTCTGCCATCAGGAGTACTGCTCATCACACCTCTTTCAAGAACTTTCACCATCACAATGACTTCTGGCAGCAAGTGTACAGTGACACAGATCTAACTCCCTATCACACCTGCATTTGCTTTCACTGATTACTGTGCACAAGTGCAGACAATTGAGTACTGCATTGTTGACATTGGTTCCCCCTCCACAGGCAAAATCACCCTGTTCAATGTCTATGTTGCTCTCTCCTGTAGCTGTGGTCAGGAGAACATTTGACTGCTAAGAGAGGATCAGCAGCTGGAAAGGATGGATGGTGCAACTGAAGCTTGGTGGGATCTTATTGACACTGGTGCAGATGCATATCAAGGAGGCACTGTGGCTGCACAGCTTGTGTAATCTACCATCTGGATCTCTAATCTTCTGCATACAAAGATGTATGTTATATGGGGTTGTAGCACCATGGGCAGTGTCACAGGCCTCTAATCATCTACCTGTGAAGACATGTGTTTTATGGCATTGTGGGGTTGAATATTGAGCTTGAGAACAAATGTGGTAAACAAGGTACCTGCCATGCGAAATGGCCTTATTCTAGTAGCATTATTCACTGCGGAAACAGGTTTTTAATCAGGTCCAGAGATGGTCGGGTCAATGACAATAACCATTGTGTATCCTGAGGGTAGCTACTCCTAATAATATGTCTGAATATAGTGCCAAAGTGTTCTTGTTTCGGAGCATAATCTGGTCAGATTTGCATGCCTATCACCATGATGATTTTTACCCTCATGATAATAATCAGATCAGATTTGAATGTGACTATGAGCTATGTACACAAAGTTAAATCATATAAATGCAATTGATCCTCCCACCTTCAGTCACATTTTTCAGGATAACCAGATCAATGAGTATTTTCCAAGGATGGGTTTATGACAGCAGCACAACTTCTCTTTCCTTCACTGATATTTGATGACACTTTTTCCAGGATGATAGCATGGGGTACTTTTCTTTGTGGCCCCAATCCTTCTGGCATTCTCCAAGTGACCATAATGGAAGTACTAATAAGGAAGAACTGCAAGCATATGTCAACTTCTTGCATTGTCCTGGAGGATGCCAACTGATCGGGCATTTTTAGTCAGGTTAGGAGGACTGCTGAAGATATAGGCAAGCAGTTAGGGCTTTTGTTCAACATGCCAGAGGATATGGACCTGGCACATGTGTACATATATTTCCTCCATAGCATTGATCCCAGATTCTCATGCATTACCAGTATAGCTATGACAAGTTTTTGAACTTGGTACAGTACACTTTCTCATAATGTATCTGGTCATGATGTATAATTCTCATAACATATGGACTCTAGGCAATTCCCACTGTGGTATGCAGGGAAAATGCAGTATTTTTGTATAATGTATAATGTATAGCCCACAAACTACTTTCATACAGTATGAGATGCCCTGTTAGCAGTGATGAGCATATGGAATTTGTTAGGGTGACTTGCCACATGGCAGATCAGAGCTCAGCACTAGCCTGCACTAGCACAAATAGGGTACAGAAGTGAAAAAAAAAAAAAAAAAAAAAAAGAAAAAAAAAACTGTGTTCACTACAGACCACCATGCCAACTGAGCTTGGGGAGCATAGACCATGGCCAAAGCCAGCTCCCTACAATTGGCAACCAAGGGCGCAGCCAACCAAAAGTACTCCTGCCACATCAGCCATCTTTGCAAAGCCAAAAAGATGTGAAAATCTCACTCTTAATGATTGGCTAACAGTCTTTGCATACATTGATGAGCACCCAGACCTACCCCAAGACCAAGTTGTTTCATACTTCAGCTCACAAGTGGAGGGTGCTGTGAGTCAAAGTGTGGTTCAGTGGTGAAAACCAACCAAAACCAACACAAAAGACAAAAAGAGTGAGTGGTGGTGTGCCTATGCAGTACCTAGATGGTAGAACCTGTTCTTTGGGAGGGTTTTTGCAAGCTATAACACTCAAAGACAAGTGCTGAGGGTTGGGGGTGCTCCTGACAAAGAAGGAGCAGGAATGTGAGAGAATGCAATAGGGTAGACTGCTGTCAGCCTACAGAAGGATGGATGATGACTTAATTTGATGCTCTGAGCTGCACTGAGCTCAGGGAGGACTTGGAGTGAAGTAGATTGATGATAGACAAAATTAATGATAGATGATAATAAGCAAAGTAGACAATAGCTAGACCCTTAATAAAGTCTCAACTATCAAAGCTGATGGAGGATTTACTGAGTGATGATAAAAATGTGAGCAAGAGGGGTTCTCTGACATCTTCTTCTTCTTCTTTTTTTGCTATCTAAGTACAGTGATTTATACAATAGCCCTCCAGTCACTCCTGGATGCATAGAAAAATGCACATGATTCACATTATTATTAAAACATGGATGCTACACTAGGGTGATGGTGTTTATGAAGGCAACTACTACTACTTGTTTTATGTTGGGTGTATGTCATATCTGTTTGAAGGCATGAGTTAATGGATTATAGGGCAGGAGAGGGCCATGTACAAGCAGTTGTTTACAATGTGGAGGATGGGTGGGATGCACAGTGATGAAGAGCCACATACATGCCCTCTGAGAGTCCAGATGGTGTCAATGATACCCAAGTGGTAGAATGTGGCGAAAGGTAGGGAGTGCTGATGGGGCGTGGTGGTGAAGTCAAGTGATAACCAGCCTCTGTCATTTAGGGATCGGACTTGGCTTCTGCATGCGAAAGGAGGGTGTTGGGTTTCCTTGCAGGAGATGAAGCAGAATCCCTGCTGTTTGTATTTGAGAAGAGCACACATGTAGCTGGGGGGAAAGCACCTCTTGTGGAGGCCTGCCATGTTGATCATTGCACAGTGGTGAAGGGTGAAGCTAGGGTAGGCACAGAAGAGGGAGTCAGTGCTGAAGAAGTTCATGATGGCTGTTGAATGGAATTGAAAGAATGAAGAAAGTGCAGAGGACATTCTGGAGATGATGACATTGATGAGTTTGTTATTTTTACTGAAAGTGGTGACAGTGAAGATGGTGGAGGGAGAGTAGTCATTGAGGCATGTGTGGCCTTGGCAGACAATTGTATAGTGATGGTTCTGCAGAAGGTTATATAGTTGAGCTTGGTGGGAATGGGAGACATAAATGTCAAGGTCTGATGATAGCCAGTTGCATGTGTTGGCAGGTAGAACCATGTGAAGTGCAGCTGATCTGGACATGATGGCCTCACATGTGGAGAGTATGTTGGTAAGTGTTTCTGAGTTGGGGAAGTAGGGGCTGCAGATGACATCAAGGCAGTGTTTTAAGTACCATCTGACATGGTCTGCATTGGTTTTGGATGTCGCAGCAAAGGACAGGAGGTCCCTCAGATCACAGTTTTTGAAAACCCTTTGTAGATGGTCAGTGTTTGTGAAGAGCAGGAATTCTGCATTGTGTTGGTGGGTGGTTGACATCCCATATGATGATGGGAGATGGTGACAGTCTGAATTTTATGAGGTTGATTATGATGAGGTCACAGTCCTGTTTTTGGGATACATACAACACATAACAATGGAATTGTTCGAGGCTCACTTTATCTAGGTGTGAATTTTACAATGTCAATTATACATGGCAAGTGGTTTGAGGGAACAGCATCATTTCTGGTGATTGTAATTTCAAATTTGTAATACTGAATAAATTTAGATTTATGTTAGAAATGCAATGTCAATGTCCAAACATTGGGGGAGCAGGAGGAATTGCTGGAATTAGTTATGGATGACAGGTTTGTCAGTGGTGGGGGGACAGGGGGTCTGTTCATTTAACTTGGGGATGGGTTAGATGATTGGAGAATATGTGCAGGGGTGGGAAAGTACATGAGGAGGGTATCTAAGATGTGATTGAGGTCGTGTTCAGGCCAGATATGAATGGGATGACCCTGCTGGTTGAGATGAATGAATAGGTAGGATGCTTGGGAGCGAAGGTGTTGATGATGGTGATGGTCGAAGATGACACAGAAGTGGATGGTTTCAAGGAAGATGTCTGTTTTGGAAAGAGCAGCATCGGCAGGGAAAACATTGGTTTTAACATAAAACTCGATGTTGTCCTTGAGATGTTTAAATGCTATGAGGTGTTGACCACTAATTTCATGCATTGAGAAGAAAAATGCAAGGACACTTGTCATTTTTGTGATGAAAGGCAAGGCTGTTTGATATGTTTTTCTTTGGCTCATTTATACTGTGGTTCTGGTGGTGATGAATGATTAATGAGGTTGTCCCCCAAAAAACATGAGCAGAGGGGTGATCTGCAGGAAATGTTAGTGGGGTTGGGGGTTCTAGATTTCCAGTCTGGCAATTTCTACACCACTGTCTCTGGATTGGGTTGTGTCAGGAACACTTGGCTCCTGAAGAAGATAGATGGCTTGCAGTTCAAATTGAGCTTTAGTGATTGTCCAGTGACCTTTGTCATCCTTTTGGTGGTACCATTGGAGGTCGGTTTCAATTAGGACAAGTGCACATTTTTTGAGGTATGAAATATCCAGTTTTTGCATTGTACTCTTGCTTTTGAGGACCTCCCATGTGTCGAAGATGCTATTGAAAAGTGTGGGCTAAATCTGTGGTCAATGAATGTTAAATAGAAAGTGAATAAGGACAAATGGTGCTACCTGACTGTGGACTTTGCCAGCAGAATGCTCAGATGAGGCCAGGGTCATACTCATTTATTGCTGTGAAATGTTTTGTGGTGATCAGGAACTGAGGCTGCAGAGGGTGAAAGTCATACATAGAGTGGGTGTGGACAACTTTGATAGTAATTGGTTTGTGTACTGTCCAAGAGTTGAAGATAGTGGAAGGATGGTGATTGAGCATTGATTGTTGGGAGCACCATTTTTTATAAACCAAGTGTTTGTGATGTGGCCCAGGACCCATATATTGATAGGCTCGTTAGTCTTTGGATTGCAAATGATTTTGCTGCGATCTTCGAACATGTCCATGGTGCCCCATGTCACAGTCAGTAGGAGATGACCAAGTGCAAACATGTTAGCTTCTGTGTTGGAATACATGGAAAGTGTCCAGATGTGCCTTGGGGTGGAGAGGTAGTTAGATATGGTCTGTGCAGTGCAAGGACTGTACTTTACTTTAGAAGTTGCTCTGGACAAGCAGAGGTGCATTGGGGATCAAGTTCTGATGAGACAGCAGTAGGTATTATGCAGCCTATGGCAGGCACAGTAGATGATTCAGCTTGATTGTTGCCAGTGGGTTGGAGCAAGGAGATGTTGGTTGAAACTGACATGTCAGTGCTAGGGAGGGTATCTGTAGATGGGGTGGAGGTTGGTACATGATCACAAACTGTTGGTGTGGAGGCCAATGGCACTTGCTGTTGAACAGGTAGTTTGTTGCTCATTGATGATGTAGTGCACTGTGGGGAAGGTGCTGTTTGCACGCATTTTGAAGGGGGAATGTCTTTAGACTGAGGCACATCTTGTTTGGGTGGCATTGGGAAGGGCACTGATGTGGTGGAATGCAGTTGGCAGGTAGGGAAAAGTGCACCAGATATTCATAGAAATGTTGGGGATGGCAGGAATGCCAATGGGATGCATGGGGGTCATTGTGATGCAGGAGGGGATTTTCCAGAGTTGGCAATCCAGAGTTAGCGATAGGAGACGAGCAATTTGCAGGAGAGAGTGACACACTTAGACTCTTGGTGATAAAAATAGGATTATGTTATAAGGTGTAGGTGTACATTTCAATTAGGAGTCTATTCTATGATGCATGTGTAAATAATAATTGCAAGGGTCGATGACATCTCTTCTCATCTTCTCAGAGATCAGGCTGGAAAGATTAGACTGTCAAATTTCTTGAGCATATAGGTTTGGATGGGAATGATGACATACATTTCTTACATGGCAGTTGTGCATGGCATGGACATGGTGGAATGATGGTGACCTTGTTGTGGAGGTGAGGTGGTAGTTGTTTTGTGCATACTGCAATCTGATGGTAAAGCAGGGGAAAGTTCTTGGGTGATCCTGTTGGCATGTATGCATCTTACTTCAGGCACCTGTGTCCTAGCAGATGGTGCTTCTGGAGGCTAATGGAGACAGAGATGAGTGTGACATTGGAAGGGACAAGAATGGTTATGAGCCTGTATGGTACATGCTGCTTGCAGATGCAGGATTTGCTTGCAGTTCAAGAAAACATGTAAGTGAGATTTCCCTGCATGTGTATGAATCATGACAAGATCAAATTTGGCATTGACTTCAATGAAGTCTCCATGGGACACACATAGTGTAGTCACATTTAGTCACAACACATGGGCAGCCTGTGTGCCAAAACACCAACACTTATATAGACTGCAAGATGGGCCTGCCTAAATAGATTAGCCAGTACACATGGACAGGCCTGAGGGACTAAAGTGAGAGCAACATATGTATGGGCCTGTAAGTGCATTACCACAACATATGGGAGGGCCCATGGTGGGTAAGGATGTTGAAACATTTGGACAGGCCCATGACCAATTAAGTATACTGAGTTGCTGTAAGACATGGATGGGCCTGTCCTGGTAGGTTACACCCCTGTTGCAACATCAAGGCAGGCCCACCTATCATAAAATGGAGAGGGTCACAACATAAGGACAGGACCATCTATGATTAGAATACAAAGTTGGCAACATATGGACAGGCCCAGGAGTAATATCATTTATGGTGTCACAACATCTAGACAGGCCCATTCATAATAAGCTGTACCCCTGTTGCAACATAAAGACAGGCCTGTCAACAGTAAGATGTACCACTGTTGAAACATAAAGATGGGCCCATCACTAGTATCATTTAATAGAGTCACAATATAAGGTTGGGCCCATCAGTAGTATTATGCAACATATGGATGGGCCTGTCCACAGTAAGATGTACCTCTGATGAGACATAAAGACAGGCCCATCAGTAATCTCATGTATAGCATCACAACATATGGGCAGGCCCTTCAGTAGTATTATTTATATCATCACAACATATGGGTGGGCCCAGCCCCAGTAAGATGTACCCTGTCAAACATAAAGATGGGCCCACCACTAATATCATTTAATAGAGTCACAACATATGGATGGGTCCTTCAGTAGTATTATTTATATTGTCACAACATATGGGTGGGCCTGGCCCCAGTAAGATGTACCCTGTTGAAACATAAAGACAGGCCTGTCACTAATATCATTTAATAGAGTCACAACATATGGACAGGCCCTTCAGTAATATTATTTATATTGTCACAACATAAAGATGGGCCTGTCAGTAATCTCATGCATAGCATCACAACATATGGGCAGGCCTGGCCCCAGTAAGATGTACCCTGTCAAAACATAAAGACAGGCCCATCACTAATATCATTTAATAGAGTCACAACATATGGATGGGCCCTTCAGTAATATTATTGATATTGTCACAACATAAAGATGGGCCCATCAGTAATCTCATGCATAGCATCAAAACATATGGATGGGCCCTTCAGTAGTATTATTTATATCATCACAACATATGGGCAGGCCTGGCCCCAGTAAGATGTACCCTGTCGAAACATAAAGATGGGCCCATCACTAATATCATTTAATAGAGTCACAACATATGGATGGGCCCTTCAGTATATTATTTATATTGTCACAGCATATGGACAGGCCTGTCCACAGTGAGATGTACCTCTGATGAAACATAAAGGCAGGCCTGTCAGTAATCTCATGTATAGCATCACAACATATGGATGGGCACTTCAGTAGTATTATTTATATTGTCACAACATATGGGCAGGCCTGGCCCCAGTAAGATGTACCCTGTCAAAACATAAAGACAGGCCCATCAGTAATGCTGTTTAATAGCATCACAACATAAGGATGGGCCCTTCAGTAGTATTGTTTATATTGTTGCAACATATGGATGGGCCTGTCAGTAATATCATTTAATAGCATCACAACATAAGGACAGGCCCTTCAGTAGTATCATGTATATCATCACAACAAATGGACAGGCCCATCTAGCAAGATGCACCCCTGTCACAACATAAGGACAAGTTTGTGTATGGTATTCTTAGGCAGCAGAAAGGGAGATCCAAGCTATCTACATAAGGACAGTCTGTGTAAGGCATTTTCAGGCAGCAGAAAGGGAGATCAAAGGGATCTACATAAGGATTGGCCCATCCATGGTATTCTCAGGCAGCAGATAAGGGAGATCAAAGGGATCTACATAAGGATGGGCCCTTCCACCCATCTCCTTCTTTCACCCTGATGTTAGTGAAGCCCCAGAAAACATTGAACTTGGCAAAGTACTTAGAGTCAGCCAGTTCATCAAGAAGGGTTTTGACATCCAGTGGGGGTACGAGTCAATGAGTGTGTGTGATTTTAGGTACCAGCATCACACACCAAAGATGTTTGGTGAGGTGGACATGGATACAGCTGATGAATGGAGATGAAGACCATAGCCCTCATGTGAAGAAGGACAGCCAGAAATGTCAGCAGTCATCCCTCACACAAGAACAAGTAATCAGTGCCAAAGAAAAAGAAAGGGAGTGAGTTAAGCACTGGTTAAAATTCTTAAGTGCCCATGTACAGCATTCCAGTTTTTGACATATCTCTGCTGTTTCTGCAGATAATGAGACCATTTTCACACTCACTTGTAGTGCTCAGCCACACAATCCTACCTTCCAAAATTGGAAAGGATTTGTGCACTCCACACATTTCTACAGCACTCCCTCCAAAAGACACTCATTTCACTAATTCTTCTGATATGGCCACCTCCATGTCAATCATTTCACTTTTCCCCTTTGCTAGGGACCATGGCTACATATATCTACCAGGAGTTCCTACCAGCTTCCATCCTAAAACATCCTGGTACATCCCACCCTTGTCTGTGCCCTCTCAGCCCATCCAGCTTGGACAGTGTGTTCTTTTTGTCAGTATGACCTCTAGGAGGACATTCTTTGGTTGCCTCAGGTCTGTCATTCACTTGGAAAGGTCTTATGTGGTTGTTTCAGTCTCTCCAGTCCAAGAAGCATATGGATTCTTCCTCCCTGCTCCTTGCAATGTCTTCATACCAGTCTCATCCATCATTCTTCCAAGATTGCAACAGCTACAGTATAATCTACTGTTCTCCACTCTCCCTGATCACATCCATGATGAGTATGATGCACATCTTGCCTCCTTGTTGCA